CATTGATTGTTAGTGGAGGCAACTTTGTCGTCTTCACCTTGTGTTGATTTTCAGGGTCTGGACCAATATGGACTGCAGCTTGAGGTCAGTCTGATCTGATAATTATTATCTCAGTCTTTTATGCACTCTGGTAAAGAGGGGCGTTTCTGTCATACTGACACACTGAGCTCCCTCGGGTTTGGCTAGTTACGAGGCAAAATTATTATTATCACTATGATTTTGTTAGACAGATATATAACTGATTCACACCAAACCTCTGTTTATCCAATACAGTGCCCCTGTCAAAGCCTTTACATATGCGCAAATACTGTACTGGGTGATACTTCAGTAGCATGCAGTTGGGACAACTGGAGCCGAAAGAAGCAATAAAATGCAGTGTATTGTTTTGCTAATTTTATTTTAGTATTTTTGAGTAAGAAGGAGGGCACTCAGTAATTGTATTTTTTATGTGTGTCTTGAAGGTTAAGATGCCACCTGACATAAGTATCATAATACAAACCCCCCAAAATGCCGACTTCAGAAAGTGATCTTGTTGATGAATGTTGTCTGTAGGCCTATCAGACTTCATTTTATATGGAAGCTATTCAAAGGGAAGTTGCTGTGGAATGGTGATCAATGAGAAACATTAGGCGCGTTCACACTGCACCTTAACCCAGGGTTAACAAATGCTTGTGTGAACACCGACTAAGCAAGCCCAGGGCCAGTCTAGCCTGGGGCTAAGATAGCCCGGGACTAAGAACAATGCAGTGTTTTGGAGAAAAAAAATGTAGGTCTCATCACTGGCATTCCTCAATTCAGATGTTTTGAATACTGTGCTTTGTGACAAATTACAATAAAAAGAGAATAAATGGCTCAATGTTCTACAATTTCTTATTTTTAATTAACAGTTGTTATGGGGTCTCTGAAACTTGTCATTGACCAACTACAAGCAAAAAAATATGAGGCATAGACAAAGATTGTCTATTATATTGACAAGATATTTGCGTGACCGCTCTAACAATGGAAATACATGTCCTCAATGATGGAAGGCAGGCGGGATGAGGAGAGATCAGGTGGCACCATTCTAGGCAATGAGAGGGCAGATACATGCGTGAACAACAGGCCATAGAGATAGATAGAGGACTCATCTTTGTATAGTGCTATTATAGTGTCTGTGACAGCATGGACAGTGCTATTGAGGCTATCTCCATTTTAAAGTAGTCAAATTTCTCATTAATTGGCTGATTGCTCCACCCCAAGTTTACGACTTTAAAATGGTGGAAGCCCTCAAATGGCAATGTCCATGCTAGAACGGGTTATGTCCATGCTAAAATGGGTTATATCCATGATGAGTCCTGTATCTATCTCTATGACAACAGGTACAACTCCGATATAAAGTCTTTTTTTTCCAAAGTTGCCGAAATGCCACGTGCAGCCACTTAAATTAGTGATAAAAGTCACCTTGTCCGAGAGAGATTTACATGGTTATCAAAACGTCACGCCAGGGTAAGCCTACATGAAACACAGCCCATATTTTAAGTGTTTCTAAAATCCCCTATGGGGAAAAGGAATTGTGGAAAAATGATTGGAACCATTTCCCTGTTTGACCGCTAGTTTTTATGGGTATTATGACACCTCTACTGTGGGGCTCTATACCTCTGGTTCATTCAGCCATTCCTATGGGGGAAAGAATGGGGTTTTGGGATAAACACCAAAAATAAGGTATGAGGCTTAGGAGATCTTATACATTTTGTTCTAATATATAATATTTTTTGGGGGAAATGTGTTTTTTGCATATTTTACTCTCCCTGAGACACCCTCTGAGAATGGGGTGACAGCCAGGGTCTGCCATTATCAACAGCGACCCATGGAGCAATAAGGTTGCCTTGCTCTGCCTTGCTCAAGGGCACATCGACAGAATTTTCACCTTGTCGACTTGGGATTCGATCTAGCGACATTTCTGCTACTCGCCCAACACTCTTTATGTGCTTTATGTGCTTGTTTTGATTACATAAATGCTTTAAATGTATATGTAGACTAAGGAAACAGGCACTTCTCAGAGTCTACTAAAGTGGCGTACATGTGACGTCAAGAACCCTGAACCAAAGAGGAAACTTGCTCTTGGGGTGTACTTTGACACTAGGCTGACCTGGGCAGAACACATTGAGAGAGTGGTGGGAAAGTGTAAGAATGTGCTAAATGTGATGCGCTGTCTGACAGGGAAGGAGTGGGGGGCTGGGCGTTCCTCATTGAGGACCATTTATGTTCCATTGATCCGATTTGTAATAGACTATGGCAGTATAGCATATGGTTTGGCAGCCTGGACCTCATTGGAAAGGATAGATGTCATACAGGGGCAAGGACTCAGAATATGTAGTGGGGTGTTTCGGACGTCTCCAGTGTCTGCACTACAGGTGGAGATGGGGGATATGCCATTGCAGATTAGGAGACAGCAGCTGGCAATTCATTATTGGGTCAACCTACAGGGACATGGGGTATCTCATCCTGCGAAAGGGATTTTACAGGCATGCTGGGAACATGAGCGAGGACAGAACACAAGGTTTGGGTCGGGGGGTAATAACCAGGCAAGGGAGATGGGACTGTATGGAAGGGAGTTTAGTCCAATGGTAGCTATTCCTGTAAACCCACCATGGCTTCTCCCACCTCCAGTAGTTGAGCTAGAAGTGTTGGAGAGACTACGTAAATATAGGGAGGGTGTTGATCCATCTGGTTTGTTTAAAAGACATCTGGATACTGTGTATCAGGATTTTGTGGCCATCTACACAGACGGTTCAAAAGAGCCAAGGACAGGAAGTGCTGGGTCAGCATTTGTAGTGTAGGAATGTGGGGTGGCAGTCAGGAAACATATACAGATCATCTGGCTGTATATACGGCGGAGCTGATGGCCATACTGTTGGCCTTGCAGTGGGTGGAGGAAGTCAAACAAGACAGTGTAGTTATTTGCTCTGATTCATGTGCAGTGTTAATGAGTCTCCAGTCCTTTAGCTCACGTAGCAGACAATACCTGCTTTATGATGTACTACAAACCCATGGCAGGATTAGACAGATGGCTATACAGATTTTTACTTGGGATATTTACTTGGGTCCCAGCCCATGTGGGGGTGGAGTGGAACGAGGCAGTTGATGTACTGGCTAAACAAGCACTTAGTAGTGGAGATGTTGACGTTGTAGTTTCAATGAGCAAGGCAGAGGCAAAAAGCCTGATATGGACAGTGATGGTACAAAGATGGCAGGAGCAGTGGAATAGAGATACTAAGGGCATTTATTTCAAGTATAGAGGAAAGTCGGGTGGGGAGGATGGCAGGAAGGGCCAGAAGAGAGGAGGCTATTGTTACACGATTAAGGGTGGGACACAGCCAGTTGAATAAGACTTTAAATGTGATAGGAAAGCATCCAACAGGAAAGTGTGATTATTGCCAGGAAACAGAGACAGTGGAGCATGTATTGATACAGTCTGGGCAGTATGAGAGGGAAAGAGAGAGGCTGAGATCTAGTATGAGGGAGAAGGGGATACAGGAAATTAGTTTAAAGAGTCTCAAATATTTTGTTATATTTTTTAAGAGAAACGGGGCTGGCAGGTAGGATTTAGTTTCTCCCTGTCTCTGGCCCACACTCCAGTACAGTATGTGGCTGTAATGCACCTTAACGTTGGATGCCAACCACCGATAAACCCAACCGAAGAAGAAGATTAGCGGTTGTTTTGGGTAGATTTTTCAGATTGAAACGGGAAAGAATGGCAGAAGCGGACGATGAAGTAGATTCTGAATCCAATGATGGTAGAATCAAGGAGAATTTGAGTATTGTTCAAAAGAATGTAAAACGGAGCAAAGTAGTGTACAGTGATGAGAATGACCCTTCGTATCTAGTAGGAGTACGGTTTGTTAATGAGGAGCAGCTGAGCAGAGTACCAATCTTGAAGAAACCATTTGAGAGATCCAAACTGGTGGAGGGAGTGCTGGGTAAAGTGAAGGCTGTGAGGATCACGAGAGGCGGGCATGTTTAGATTGTTTGTGCTTCTGCGGATCAGAAGGAACGTGCGTTGCGTCTCACCCGATTTGATCAATTTGAAGTGTCGTGTGTGTCTCTTCGGAACAGGGCACCCCTCAATGGGGTTATATCTGGGGTCTCGTGGGAAGTCGATTTTGAAGAGATGAAAAATATTCCTGGAGTGATTGATGCACGTCGGATGAATCGTGTGGTGAATGGTGAAAAAGTGAAGTCTATCTGTTCTTTTGTTTTTTGATATGGAGTCTCTCCCTACTGAAGTGCAGTTGGGGTATATAAACTACAGAGTTCGAGCATTTATCCCAAGACCAATGCAGTGTGACCATTGTAAAGCTTTTGGTCAAGTGTTTGCAGAAGGGAGAAGCTGTCCAAGTTGTGGAAATTATCATATTATGTGGTATAAAAGTGATGAAAATGTGAAATGTTGCAATTGTGGTGGGAACCATGAAGCCACATCTTTTGAATGCCCCACAAGAGTGAAAGAGAATGAGGTGGCCAAAGTCAGGGCTGTCCAGAGTATTTCATATGCAGCAGCCGTTAAAAGGTTTGAATGGTGCACCTGAAGAGTCCATGGTGGTGGATAGGCCTTCACTGCAGGCAGCAGGGGTTGACTTTCACCAGCAGGATCCTGACATTTTAAAGGTTAAGAAGGTGGCTATAGCTATGGTGATAAATGGCACTGCCAAGGTGGAGAGAAGGTCCAGGAAGAGCTAAATCATTGTGGATGCAGCGGAGCGGTTCCTGGGGCTGAAAGATTTCTCTGCGAAGGAGTTACATGGAATATTGTCACAAGCCGTACCACCCTCTCAGGCCCTACAGCCTGAGAAGGGAGGTATAGATATTTGGAAGAAGTGGGAGTTTTGTTTTGTCAATGTAGTATTTTTACTTGGGTGGATTAAGTTAGTTTCCCAATTATGTATGTTTTTTTTTTTTCCTTTGTTATGATTTCAACCCATCCAGTTGGTGGCGGCAATACACCTTTTCGGGTTGTAGTCCGCCATAAAACCCACAGAAGAAGTGTTTGTTTTGACTGCTAGCATACTGCTGGAAAGTTAGCTAGCGCAAGAAAACGAATGCATGATTCTTGAAGCGATATATGGTTTGAATTTAGATAGTATAATAAGATAAACTAATACGTATGATTTTTGTTTAAGATAATGTAAGTAGCCCCCTTTCTAGGAACGCGTACGTTAGCTAGCTAGTAGGAACTGCTATGTACAGTTCCAGTCAACTTGAATGCATGACCTGCTGAGTACTAACGTTAGCTAACTAGATAAATAAGATGGCAAACTCCACTAAGGTGTTATAGTTTATTGTAAACTGTAAACATTACCTAGCCTATTCGTTTACTTGTGGACCGTGATGGCTGCAAACAAACTTCATAAACGCTAACTAGCTAGCTGATAAAAGCTAGCTAGTAACGTAGCTAGCTTAGCTACATATCTCGCTGCGTTGATCAAATGTCAACTATGCCATGGACAGTAAGCTGTTCAACACCGTCAACTGAATCATTTCTATCCACGTCCGTTTATCAACTGTGAGCTAAGTCGATCAAAATGAGGATCCTAAGGGCCTTGATGAGTAACGCCGCCTCCATGGGAAAGCATATTGATTACTACTCCAGATTCTCCCCTTCACCCCTCTCGATGAAACAGTTCTTGGACTTCGGTAAGTGGACTTGATTCTCAATGTCTTTAGCCAACTGTTTGCTAACTTCATTGAGACGTGGCACATAGGCTTTATATAGCTGCTTCACCTGGTTCATATCTTTCATCTAACTAACCATCAGTCATGTTTGTTCTGTTCCACATTTAGGGTCTGGTGAAAATGCATGCGAGAAAACATCGTTTACATTCCTCAGACAGGAGCTACCTGTGAGGTTGGCAAATATAATGAAGGAGATCAACTTGTTACCTGATAATCTGCTAAAGACTCCATCAGTCCGGTTGGTCCAGAGCTGGTGAGTACTGTCATTTTAGAGCCATCAGACCCCCATCTAGCCTGTTGGAACCAGCCTGAATGCTGCTTTTACTATTGTATTTCACTTCAGTAAAACAGGAGGGTGACTGCAGCAATCAGGCTGGTTCCACCAGGCTAATTCCCATCTTCTCCTGTTATGCATGTTCAGCAGGCCTATGAATAGCTTAACCAATGTATTGGGTCATTTTCTATTTTTAGGTACATGCAAAGTCTTAAAGACATCATTGAGTTCAAGGAGAAAGATGCTGATGATGAGAAAGTAACATATGAGTAAGATTATAATCACGTTTGGTTATTCATGCTTACATATCACTAATATAAACTAGGCCCATTGTGGATCATAATTCCTTTGGTGTCCGTCTTCACATAGTTTCACTGATGCTGTTATAAAGATCCGAAACCGTCACAATGACGTCATCCCGACCATGGCCCAGGGGGTTGTGGAGTACAAGGAGACCTATGGCACAGACCCCATCGTCAGCCAGAATGTTCAGTATTTCCTGGATCGCTTCTACATGAGCAGAATATCCATCAGGATGCTGCTTAACCAGCACAGTGAGCATGTCACCTGTTATTGCACCCACACTGATGTCAAAAGCTGCAGCATTGCTCAGAAGAGGAACATTTCAAATGGAAACTGTTTCTGGCAGTTTAAAGACATTCTGTTAAAGGCGAAAAATATCTTACATCCTAAGACCAGAATATCTGAAAGAAATTGACAAATAATGGAAGCAGAGCTGTCAAACTTGTTATATAAACATCTGTTAAATGTTAGTGGTGACAGTTTTGCATGTATCTGTACGTCTTCTATTCTAGCCCTGCTCTTTGGCGGGAAAGTGAGGGTAAACCCAGCTCATCCTAAACAGATTGGCAGTATTGATCCGCACTGCAGTGTTACTGAGGTAGTCAGGGGTAAGTGCTGCACAATTTTAAACAACTGAAATAGGCCTAAATTGATAGCAACAATACAGTATTACTTTCCTATATACAGTGGGGGGAAAAAGTATTTAGTCAGCCACCAATTGTGCAAGTTCTCCCACTTTAAAAAGATGAGAGGCCTGTAATTTTCATCATAGGTACACGTCAACTATGACAGGCAAATTGAGATTTTTTCTCTCCAGAAAATCACATTGTAGGATTTTTAATGAATTTATTTGCAAATTATGGTGGAAAATAAGTATTTGGTCACCTACAAACAAGCAAGATTTCTGGCTCTCACAGACCTGTAACTTCTTCTTTAAGAGGCTCCTCTGTCCTCCACTCGTTACCTGTATTAATGGCACCTGTTTGAACTTGTTATCAGTATAAAAGACACCTGTCCACAACCTCAAACAGTCACACTCCAAACTCCACGATGGCCAAGACCAAAGAGCTGTCAAAGGACACCAGAAACTAAATTGTAGACCTGCACCAGGCAGGGAAGACTGAATCTGCAATAGGTAAGCAGCTTGGTTTGAAGAAATCAACTGTGGGAGCAATTATTAGGAAATGGAAGACATACAAGACCACTGATAATCTCCCTCGATCTGGGGCTCCACGCAAGATCTCACCCCGTGGGGTCAAAATGATCACAAGAACGGTGAGCAAAAATCCCAGAACCACACGGGGGGACCTAGTGAATGACCTGCAGAGAGCTGGGACCAAAGTAACAAAGCCTACCATCAGTAACACACTACGCCGCCAGGGACTCAAATCCTGCAGTGCAAGACGTGTCCCCCTGCTTAAGCCAGTACATGTCCAGGCCCGTCTGAAGTTTGCTAGAGTGCATTTGGATGATCCAGAAGAGGATTGGGAGAATGTCATATGGTCAGATGAAACCAAAATATAACTTTTTGGTAAAAACTCAACTCTTCGTGTTTGGAGGACAAAGAATGCTGAGTTGCATCCAAAGAACACCATACCTACTGTGAAGCATGGGGGTGGAAACATCATGCTTTGGGGCTGTTTTTCTGCAAAGGGACCAGGACGACTGATCCATGTAAAAGAAAGAATGAATGGGGCCATGTATCGTGAGATTTTGAGTGAAAACCTCCTTCCATCAGCAAGGGCATTGAAGATGAAACGTGGCTGGGTCTTTCAGCATGACAATGATCCCAAACACACCGCCCGGGCAACGAAGGAGTGGCTTCGTAAGAAGCATTTCAAGGTCCTGGAGTGGCCTAGCCAGTCTCCAGATCTTTGGAGGGAGTTGAAAGTCCGTGTTGCCCAGCGACAGCCCCAAAACATCACTGCTCTAGAGGAGATCTGCATGGAGGAATGGGCCAAAATACCAGCAACAGTGTGTGAAAACCTTGTGAAGACTTACAGAAAACGTTTGACCTGTGTCATTGCCAACAAAGAGTATATAACAAAGTATTGAGAAACTTTTGTTATTGACCAAATACTTATTTTCCACCATAATTTGCAAATAAATTCATTAAAAATCCTACAATGTGATTTTCTGGATTTTTTTTTCTCATTATAGTTGACGTGTACCTACGATGAAAATTACAGGCCTCTCTCATCTTTTTAAGTGGGAGAACTTGCACAATTGGTGGCTGACTAAATACTTTTTTTCCCCACTGTAAACTGCTTTGCCTTTCCCCCAGATGCGTATGAAAATGCAAGAAACCTTTGTGATCGGTATTACATGAACTCTCCCGAGTTGGTACTGGAAGAATTCAATGGTAAATGTTTGGATTTCATTCCCAACTTATGCATAATAATAAACTTGGTGGACTGTTGATGATATTAGACTGCGTTTACATGTATTTTCAGAAGTTATTGCATCACACTTACAGTTCCTACATTTTCCAATTGTCTCTACAGTGAAAGATGATGGAAAGCCTCTGACTGTAGTGTATGTGCCATCCCATCTCTACCACATGGTATTTGAACTTTTCAAGGTATGCCTTATTTTTTAAAACTTCAAAATGAATTACTTATGAGCTTACTTTTTAAGTTCTGAGAAGAAAATTGAACCTTAAATGTGGATTTGATCTCTCCAGAATGCCATGAGGGCCACCATGGAGTTATATGGCGATTCTATGGACTATCCTCCTGTACATGCCCAGGTTGCCCTGGGGAGTGAAGACTTGACAGTTAAGGTACAACTACTCTGCAGTGCTGCTTCTCATTTAACCTCTCTTATATGGCTAGAGAGACGTCATATCATCATATCAGTCTTATCAGTGCATCTCTAGTCTATGCTATTTCCTCTTCCAGGTGAGCGATCGTGGAGGAGGGGTCCCTCTGAGGAAGATCGAGAGGTTGTTCACCTACACATACTCCACCGCCCCCCCACCCAGCATGGACGGCCAACGCAGCCCTCTGGTGAGACTATCCACTTTATAACAAGGAGCACATACTATTAATATTAATTACAATATTGTAAGCATTCTCTTATCTGTTCTGTTGTAGGCTGGCTATGGGTACGGCCTGCCTATCTCTCGATTATATGCCAGATACTTCCAAGGTGATTTGAAGCTGTACTCTCTGGAGGGCTATGGCACCGATGCTGTGATATATATCCGGGTAAGTAAAAAAAAAAAGTAAACAAAAATGAGACGTTAAGTGTTGATGTTTTTCAGAATAACTTGAGACCCATTTCTCCATTATTCCCTCGACAATTGTGTGCAGGCATTGTCCACGGAGTCCATCGAGAGGCTTCCTGTCTACAACAAGTCAGCCTGGAAGCACTACAAGACCATGCACGAGGCAGACGACTGGTGTGTTCCAAGCAAGGAGCCCAAGGACATGACAACATTCCGTAGTTTTTAGGCCTAGATGCCTCCTGGTTAGACTATTGTCATTTGCTAGATGATTTACTGTACATTCATTGTTTTGGTTGTAGTTGCTGAATGAATTGCTTTATGTGAGTGATGCTATATCTGCTCCACTTTGGGAAGCAATAGGTCAAAAACCTTTGCACTTTTACTGGTTGCATGTATACGTAACTAACAACAATGACAGAGCATAGTTCTAGTGCCATACATTTCATGTGAACAATAGGTTTTGGTGTTTTGATCAATAGAGTTCCTTGACAGTCATATATGCAATGGTTTAAAGAAGTGAGTATTTATCATCACTAAATTGTATAAACCCATTCTGGAAGTGTTGCTTTGTCAAAACTGCCATGTTTATACCATGTGTATTATGTGAAAGGATTGCTTGGTTTCTAGCATTTTGCTGAAAGGGAAAAAGAGTGAATGTTGCTTGTTATTTATACTGAGTGTTCTCCACAGGCTGAAGATGTTTGTTACAAAGCTGTGCAGCTACGAGGTCTTTTTCCATGTCCTTCGCTATCGTTGAAGGAATGTTATTATCTTGACAGTATAGATGGAGTACATATTTTTTCTGTCCTACAGCTATACATGACGGAAGAGAAATACAGATAAAACTTGTTCTCACCATTGAGATACGTTTGAGGTGCAGTGTGGTTTCATTGACTCAACCTTTCAAGAGATATATGTTATATTTGTTGACCTTATTAAAGTGCATGTTAGTGGAACATCCATCTCATGAATGCGGAAACCATTAGACCTCCCAATTAAAGCACAAAATACACCCACAACGGAATCTGATGTGAGAATGTTTATTTTATGCTGCTTTTACAATATGTACCAAGAACAGAAATAGACTAGCTCTTTTGTATTGGAACAAGTGAAGGGAATTCAACTAGTGTGTCCAATACCTTTTAACTCCCCAAAATCTAAACAAAGCATACTTGAATAAAAAAATAATGCTTGGCTATGGACAAGCTCAACATGCACCCAACATTCATGTTGACAAGACAGCCAACCATTCAACTGATTTATTGTCATAGGCACACACACCTCATGTTCTCATGGACCCACACCCTGTCAGCAAGGAGTGCATGCAGTGTAGAATAATATTGCATGCGTTGGTACCATTTCAGCAACACATAAAATTCTCCGGCTCAATAGGACCACAGAGTAGTACATCCTCCATTCTCAAAACAGGCACAGTTGGGAAGGGGCTATATAAGCAGCATTTCCGTTGTCGTTACTTGATTCCTTTTGCCTTTCATTTAGCAAATGTGTTCTCATCCTAGTGGCTATTCTACTTAGTAGAAAAAGTATATATAAAATGATTAACCTTAATAATTTGATTTTAAAACGTTATGCAGTTAATAGGCATATGTAGAAAACTTCATTCACACACTTAAAACCTTGTCACCCTTTTAAGCTTAAAAGATTATATAGTACTTTTATCTCAATAACTGTACAAAGTTCCTGCAACAAAATATCTATCTGTACATGGCTACAGGAAAGTTATGCTAGCAAAAATACACTATAAAACACGTAAAAAGCAGTACTGAATTCATTCCACTTGTTGTATGGGTAAATGTACACAAATCCTGCAACTACATATCTGGAAACTCAAAAGGGATAAACGTACTGCTTCTATAGCTTTATAAAGGTAAAAAAAATACATGTTGAGTTTTGTTTTTGGTCATGTCCCCAACACTTGTCATTAAAGTATTACTTTCACCCCCCCTCCCCCTCCTGTCTCCCCAATCTACCACAATGATATGATACAGATACTTCTGGAGACAGGACTGTCAGCGTATTTGATTGAAAAGCAGAGCCAGCTCTTGTGTGTGCTTGTGAATAACCCAAAACTATGATAGGAAAAGTATCAATAGCCAACAAGACAAATAGGGCTATTTTCAGATTATTCTTACAATTGGCACGGTAAACCAACACTGGTGTGCTAACATTATCATTACTGGTCATTATAGACTCACATGATGAGTGACTGAGTTTGTGCTCTCTTAGTAACTGCTGTGAACTGAGGAGGATGGTACTTATGTGGCCTATATGTGAAACAGAACAGATACAGGGGTCGTTGAATGTCCTGCCTCACTCGAGGGAGAATGTGTTAGGTTATGTTCAGAGATAGAGAGAGTGGGTCACCTCTGGGGCAGTTCAGCAGACAGAGTCAGTGTTGGGAGGCAGTCTCCCGCTGCGTCGTGCCTCCTTTTCCCTTTTCTCCTTCTGTTTCTCCAGCTTCTCCTGGGACTTCCTCATGTCCTTCAGCTTCTTCTTGATGGTGGCCCGGTCACTCTGGCTGGACACACCCAGGGCCTGAAGGGACAAACATCACTGGTCACATTCTAGAGCACACCTCTCTGAAATGTATATACACTTCTGACAATATCCTCTCATTTATTGTGTCATTTTTGGCCATAAGGTGGCAGTCTATACCTTATAAACCTGACTTGTGGCAAATGGAAGAGCTTGCGTTTAGATGATATGAAAATCATTTCAATTGTACATTCTTCATTCTGCCTGAAACTCTGTGTGGCCAACATATGAGTTCTGAACTTTGGTCTTGTTGCTTGTGATGCCCTCGTACCTTCAACTTGTCACTGTCCAGGAGCATGAGCTGATGGCCATCCACACCCTTGGCGGTGAACTCAGGCGTGTATTGGTCCATGTTCATGCCCATCAACCAGTGACAGACTTGCTGATTGTTCCACTCAAGGACAGGGCGGTTCTGCCATTGATATTCCTTCCCTGTGGGCACTGGCTCATCATCCAGGGTCTACGGAACACCAAGAAACACATGACATCCCAAAAAAACTAACGAAACAAGTCACCTAGAGCACAGTATAATGGATTAAATAGCAAATGAACGTTTAAGCACAATATCAAAACATGGCACGGTGCAAAGCATTTGGTACATGCATTGCACATCCAGTGACTGAAATCACATAAAAAGGCTGTGTCCACTGGTCCATTCAGAGTTTGTCACAACGCTGATAAGTGGAACAGGCCAGAACATGCAGAGGGAGCATGTCCGTTTTGTTCTACCTGGCATACCTCTGCTTGTTTGAGTATAGTAAGCAGGGCATTGGTCTAACATTTATCAGAATAAAATAAATCACTTATCAACTGAAACACCAACAAGATAAGCAATACAGTCATAAAACACAATTATACACACAATCCAACACCATATGATAAGGAATGTAAGACAAGTTCCACTAAACAGACACAGGAGCGGCACAGATCATTCTATGGCAGGGCTCCCCAACTGGCAGACGGCCCGCGGTGTGGTTTTATTTGGCCCCCCAAGTATTTTTGTAATATTTTATTTTATTTTCATTGTTGGACATAAAAAACAGTAAAAACACCAGGAAATCAGCTCAAAGTGATTTTTATTTGGGAAATCTGTTCCCAAGTATTTCCACGCATAATAGAAAGACACGTGACCATATACAGTGGGGAAAAACAGTATTTAGTCAGCCACCAATTGTGCAAGTTCTCCCACTTAAAAAGATGAGAGAGGCCTGTAATTTTCATCATAGGTACACGTCAACTATGACAGACAAAATGATAATTTCTCCCCCTGAAAATCACATTGTAGGATTTTTAATGAATTTATTTGCAAATTATGATGGAAAATAAGTATTTGGTCAATAACAAAAGTTTCTCAATACTTTGTTATATACCCTTTGTTGGCAATGACACAGGTCAAACGTTTTCTGTAAGTCTTCACAAGGTTTTCACACACTGTTGCTGGTATTTTGGCCCATTCCTCCATGCAGATCTCCTCTAGAGCAGTGATGTTTTGGGGCTGTCGCTGGGCAACACATACTTTCAACTCCCTCCAAAGATTTTCTATGGGGTTGAGATCTGGAGACTGGCTAGGCCACTCCAGGACCTTGAAATGCTTCTTACGAAGCCACTCCTTCGTTGCCCGGGCGGTGTGTTTGGGATCATTGTCATGCTGAAAGACCCAGCCACGTTTAATCTTCAATGCCCTTGCTGATGGAAGGAGGTTTTCACTCAAAATCTCACGATACATGGCCCCATTCATTCTTTCCTTTACACGGATCAGTCGTCCTCGTCCCTTTGCAGAAAAACAGCCCCAAAGCATGATGTTTCCACGCCCATGCTTCACAGTAGGTATGGTGTTCTTTGGATGCAACACAGCATTCGTTGTCCTCCAAACACGACGAGTTGAGTTTTTACCAAAAAGTTCTATTTTGGTTTCATCTGACCATATGACATTCTCCCAATCCTCTTCTGGATCATCCAAATGCACTCTAGCAAACTTCAGACGGGCCTGGACATGAGTCCCTTGCGGCGTAGTGTGTTACTGATGGTAGGCTTTGTTACTTTGGTCCCAGCTCTCTGCAGGTCATTCACTAGGTCCCTCCGTGTGGTTCTGGGATTTTTGCTCACCGTTCTTGTGATCATTTTGACCCCACGGGGTGAGATCTTGCGTGGAGCCCCAGATCGAGGGAGATTATCAGTGGTCTTGTATGTCTTCCATTTCCTAATAATTGCTCCCACAGTTGATTTCTTCAAACCAAGCTGCTTACCTACTGCAGATTCAGTCTTCCCAGCCTGGTGCAGGTCTACAATTTTGTTTCTGGTGTCCTTTGACAGCTCTTTGGTCTTGGCCATAGTGGAGTTTGGAGTGTGACTGTTTGAGGTTGTGGACAGGTATCTTTTATACTGATAACAAGTTCAAACAGGTGCCATTAATACAGGTAACGAGTGGAGGACAGAGGAGCCTCTTAAAGAAGAAGTTACAGGTCTGTGAGAACCAGAAATCTTGCTTGTTTGTAGGTGACCAAATACTTATTTTCCACCATAATTTGCAAATAAATTCATTACAAATCCTACAATGTGATTTTCTGGATTTATTTTTCTCAATTTGTCTGTCATAGTTGACGTGTACCTATGATGAAAATTACAGGCCTCTCTCATCTTTTTAAGTGGGAGAACTTGCACAATTGGTGGCTGACTAAATACTTTTTTCCCCCACTGTACAAATGTAAACAAGGTTTGAAATGATTATGCTTTAGTCAAATATTATATCTGTTTGGGCTTCTTGCAGCCAATTTTCAGTCTACAAATGATTTGTAATTATGTTCCGCCCCACCGACCATCCGCTCAAGAACAAAATAGGCTCGCGGCTGTATCTAGTTGATGATCCCTGTTCTATGGTCTATGAGAAAAACAGAAGACAACTGGAGTAGCCTCTACTGCTAGTTCAGCTGGTAGTAGCACAACAAGGACCCCAAGCTTGTTTTAACACCACACAGACAAACTTCAGCACACACATGCAACTTCATTCTCCGGTGGTCATTCACGATTCCATCACCACAGCCACAAGGGGGGTAAACTCAAAGAGCATGCTTGATACTGTCCCCTTTCAGAGACATCTGAGCAGCACCATCCCACACAGGGTTTTGTGGAACAAAGAGAGAGAGCACTCACCTCACTGGACGAGAAGATTAAAGTATGTGAGCGCCCAGACAGAATGGGCTCTGCAACTAAGCCTGAGATGTCTGAACTGGGACTGCCAAGGTTTGAATCATCTATGACTGACAAACTCTGGAACAGTGGAACAAGGAGGAAACAAGGAGGAACGCATTAACTAGACAAACACATGGGTGGGTAAACGACAGTTCTGGGGACTAAAGCTCTAGGGAGAAAAGGGATCAGCAGTGGTAACAGTGTAAATGTGGAAATTGAGGTTGAGAATTAAATAGGGATTATCATTGACATGATTTGCTCTATGGTGATATCAACACTGGGAATACTGTGTAAATACATTATCATCATAACAGAGGGGTAGAAGAAGATATCAGGTCTTTGATTACACATTCATAAATCCAACTGGATTATCAGTTGAGTTCACGACAAACATAACTCGACAATTACTAGCATGACAAAAGCTACTTCTACTACGACAATTATGACACACACAAACAACTATTTCTACTGGTACAGCACTAAAACGCCACTCAAAAAACTATGTGGTACTGTATCAAGACTATGTTTTTCAATCATTTGTGATTAATTCCGACTGATAATATTAATCATATCATGTGTGATATGAAAGGTATGGCGTGGAAGCATAAATGTGAAATGTTCGATTTACAGTGCCTTCAGAAAGTATTCCTTTTGTTGTCACAGCCTGAATTCAAAATGGATTAAATTGTTTTTTTCTCTCTCACTCATCTACAGACAATACCCCATAAAACATGTTTTTAGAAATATTTGCAAATTTGTTGAAAATGAAATACAGAAATATCTAATTTACATAAGTATTCACACCCTGAGTCAATACTTTGTAGAAGCATCTTTGGCAGCGATTACAACTGTGAGTCTTTCTGGGTAAGTCTCTTAAGAGCTTTCCACACCTGGATTGTGCAACATTTGCCCATTATTCTTTTCATAATTCTTCAAGCTCTGTCAAATTGGTTGTTGATCATTGATAGACAACCATTTTCAGGTCTTGCCATAGATTTTCTAGTAGAAAAATATCTACTTAACTCGGCCACTCAGGAACGTTCATGGTCTTCTTGGTAAGCAACTCCAGTGTAGATTTGGCCTTGCGTTTTAGGTTATTGTCCTGCTGAAAGATGAATTCATTTCCCAGTGTCTGGTGGAAAGCAGACTGAACCAGATTTCCTCTACGATTTTGCCTATGCTTAGCTCCATTCCATTTATTTTTATCCTGAAAAACTCCCCAGTCCTTAACGATTACAAGCATACCCATAACATGATGCAGCCACCATTATGCTTGAAAATATGGAGAGTGGTACTCAGTACTCGGGCTCCCGAGTGGCGCAGTGGTCTAAGGCACTGCATTTCAGTGCTTGAGGCGTCACTACAGACCCCCTTGTTCGATTCCAGGCTGTATCACAACCGACCGTGAATAAGAATTTGTAAATAAGAATTTGTTCTTAACTGACTTGCCTAGTTAAATAAAGGTAAAATAAAAAAAATAAAAAAATATGTGTTGTATTGGATTTACCCCAAACATAACACTTTGTATTCAGGACAAAAAGTGATTTGCTCTTTGCCACATGTTTTGCAGTATTACTTTAGTGCCCTGTTGCAAACAGGATGCATATTTTTGAATATTTGTATTCTGTACAAGCTTCCTCCTTTTCACTCTGTCAATTAGGTTAGTATTGTGGAGTACCTACAATGTATTTGATCCATCCTCAGTTTTCTCCTATCACAGTCATTAAACTCTGTAACTGTTTTAAAGTCACCATTGGCCTCATGGTTGAATCTGTGTTTGAAATTCACTGTTCGACTGAAGTACCTTAGAGATAATTGTATGTGTGGGGTATAGAGATGAGGTAGTCATTCAAAAATCATGTTAAACACTATTATTGCACACATATGGAGTCCATGCAATTTATTATGTGACTTGTTAAGCACATTTTTACTCCTGAACTTATTTAGGCTTTCCATAACAAAGGGGTTGAATACTTATTGACTCAAGATATTTCAGCTTTTCATTTATAAATCATTTGTAAAAATGTCAAAAAACATAATTCCACTTTGATATTATGGGGTATTGTGTATAGGGCAGTAACACAACAATCTTTAATTCATCCATTTTAAATTCAGGCTGTAACACAACAAAATGTGGAAAACGTTAAGGGGTGTGAATACTTTCTGAATGCTTGACACACTACCACAAACCCAATTCCACTACAACAACACAAATCAATGTTAGGGATTTAGTATGATCTAGATGTGAAATTAACTATCACAACACTACACTAGATGACTGGTTAGTTCTAATCTACCAGCTCCTCTAAGATTGGGGGTGTAAAAAGGAAATCATACTGTACCAAATCTAACGAGCGACTGAATAAAGAGGACCAGGAGAGATTTGTCTGTTTGAAAGAAGGACGGTTAGAGAGCTTGTCAAGTCGTTCTCCATACTGTACAGTCGTGGTCAAAAGTTTTGAGAATGACACAAATATTAATTTTCACAAAGTCTGCTGCCTCAGTTTTTATGATGGCAATTTGCATATACTCCAGAATGTTATGAAGAGTGATAAGATGAATTGCAATTAATTGCAAAGTCCCTCTTTGCCATGAAAATGAACTTAATCACCCAAAAACATTTCCACTGCATTTCAGCCCTGCCACAAAAGGACCAGATGACATCATGTCAGTGATTCTCTTGTTAACACAGGTGAGAGTGTTGGCGAGGACAAGGCTGGAGATCACTCTGTCATGCTGATTGAGTTAAGAGTAACAGACTGGAAGCTTTAAAAGGAGGGTAGTGCTTGAAATCATTGTTCTTCCTCTATTAACCATGGTTACCTGCAAGGAAACACATGCCGTCATCATTGCTTTGCACAAAAAGGGCTTCACAGGCTTGGATATTGCTGCTAGTAAGATTGCACCTAAATCAACCATTTATCGGATCATCAATAACTTGAAGGAGAGAGGTTCAATTGTTGTGAAAAAGGCTTCAGGGTGCCCAAGAAAGTCCAGCAAGCGCCAGGACCGTCTCCTAAAGTTGATTCAGCTGCGGGATCGGGGCACCACCAGTGCAGAACTTGGTCAGGAATGGCAGCAGGCAGGTGTGAGTGCATCTGCACGCACAGTGAGGCGAAGACTTTTGGAGGATGGCTTGGTGTCAAGAACGGGAGCGAGGAAGCCACTTCTCTCCAGGAAAAACATCAGGGACAGACTGATATTCTGCAAAAGGTACAGGGATTGGACTGCTGAGGACTGGGGTAAAGTCATTTTATCTGATGAATCCCCTTTCCGATTGTTTGGGGCATCCGGAAAAAAGCTAGACCGGAGAAGACAAGGTGAGCGCTACCATCAGTCCTGTGTCATGCCAACAGTAAAGCATCCTGAGACCATTCATGTGTGGGGTTGCTTCTCAGCCAAGGGAGTGGGCTCACTCACTCTCAAATATTGACTCTTTGCATAAACTTAATGTAATTGTCAATAAAAGCCTTTGACACTTGTAATTATACTTCAGTATACCATAGTAACATCTGACAAAAATATCTAAAAACACTGAAGCAGCAAACTTTGTGAAGACCAATACTTGTGTCATTCGCAAAACTTTTGACCACGACTGTACACTGTGGTTGACACCCAGCTCCAGCTGGCACCGGATCACACAGAGTAGTAGAATTCCAGCCAGCGGAACCAGGGGAGGCCCTGTTTGTGGCACACACCGCCCACTCCCCACAGCCCTGGTGCTGTTGGCCTCCATCTACTCACCGGGCAGCCTGGTTGTGAATTACTCAGGCCTATTTGTGCAGATGCATTTAATGGGGATAATTCTCTGGTTGCTAAGCCATTGAAATGCCAGTGAATCCTCCTCCTCCTTTTCTCGCTCTCAGATTAATGACGGGGCTGCATCTCAAATGGCACCCTGTTCCCTATATAGTGCACTACTTTTGACCAGGGCCCATAGAGGAATAGGGTGCCATTTGGGACACAAACACACGGCCTCCATATGGTTCCACAGGCAGCAGCAGCAGCAGCGCAACCCTGTTCTGTTCTCTTCCTGAATGGGAGGAGCTATAGGAGACAGACCAGCCACTCCACAGCAACATCATCGTCACACTCTGGGAAAAACGATACCGGCCGGCTGCTACACATTTCTTGACTGGATTTGGTATTTCCACGCAGAGCAAAAACATGCTTTAAACAGTGGATTACTGACCAATGAATCACTGGCTTATTACTGGCCAACTCACCATGAAACAGTCCAGAAATGACAGAGAGGTCAGTTCAGTGACACAGGACTGCTTTCATTCCACTTAGTAGTAGCAAATGAAATGTAATTAGAGTCCCGGCTATATTCGGCATACCAGTAAAATGGCCTAATGCAATAATTCCTTTATGTGTTCTGCTTCCGTTTGCTACTGGTGATTCTGACGTTACTGAACATCTCTACCTCTTGGATAAAGATGTCTAGATTATCTTTTGATGGCACTGTGTGTGTGTGTGTGTGTGTACACTCACCTTGTTCTTGCGGTCCTGGCTCTGCTCACTGCTGGTCTCAGTGGCTGCGTATGGTAGACTGCTGCTGGTGGACGAAGGCTCCTTGTCCCTGTCTCTGTCCCCAAACCAGGAGAAGGGCATACAGGTGGGTATAGAGGTCATGGACTCAGAAGGGGACAGGTTTCCCCCAGATTCCTCCAGGAGCTCGGCAGAACCCCTGGGCATTAGGAAAATGAAGAAAAATAAGCAAAGTCTCCAAGTTACATATTGTCCCTTTAATAGCACAAAGGTCCTCTGATAGCAGAGCTGTGAGTGTACGGTGATGACATATCTAGAATGTGGTGAAACAGTAGGCCTGGTAACATGACATGTGACATACCTGCTGTCCAGAGATGCTCGCATCGCCTCCTTGTCATGTTTCTTCCCTTTGCCACCAGACTTCCGGAGGCCACTGTTGGTTTTCAAAAGCTTTAGATGGTGCAGGACTAACAGGACTGTCAAACTGAAAATTAATTATTATCTCAGGCACTTACCCAAAAATCGTCTTTTTGGGTTTTCCTACTGAAGAACTCTCATTTGTTTCATCTGTAACAGAGTTACATTTTTGACAACGAAATGAACTGCCACAAGCAGAGAGCCAGTAAGAGGCATATCAATATGGTGACAGTCAGTGGAGGTAGCAGCAACAACAGGTTTTGTAAATGTGCTGTGTAAAGAGCATATTGTGGGTAGCAGATTCATCTGTTGATGAGGGGCAGTACCTTTGAGCTCCTTGCCCTTCCCCTTGGACTCCCTCTTCTTGACGTTGCGAAGGAACCCTGAGGGGGAGTGTGGTGAGGGCAAAGAGGTGTCTTTGGGTGGGGACAGGGAAGGACTGCCCCCGCTTTCGACACTATCTCTCTGGGACGGGGGCAGGGAGGGGCTGCTGGAGAGCTTCACCTTGCTCCTGGATCTCTCCCCAGCCTCGGGGGTGTCGTCCCTCTGGCCGGTCCTAGGATAGCACATGGGCACGGGCAGGGACAGGCTCTCCTGGATGCACCTCTTCCTCCTGGTAGAGTCCTCCTCCTCGTTCTCCTGGAGGGAAAAACAGTCAGCAGTGATGTGAGCAGACAAACAGTGGAGATAGACCTGATACATGTGAATATTGGTATTGAACATGCATCCATAGAAGGAGATGCGGAAGAATACATCTTTGAATTAGCTAGTACTATTGACCCTGAAATTGTTTTCAAAATGACTGAGAGAACTTTCCGAGCTGACCTGTGAGTGGCAAGGGGACATGCCAAGGTTCTCCTTCAGTTTATTGCGAGACGGACGATTCCTCCTTGGGGCCAGTAGGCCCTTGGCTTTGTGTGCACTGGTGTCCAAGCGCTCAGTCTCAGGGACCAGCTCGCTCCAGTCTGTATCTGTGGATGAGAGACAAAACACAGCTCAGAGCTCAGTAAACACAACATAAGGCATACACTGTACACTATTCTCAGACATACTCGTGTTCAGAGACAGTCACGCTTTCCAATGGTAGTAAATGATGGGTGGCTCCTAGCCTGTTCGTCAAGTGTACATTGAGCCCTACCTAGCGTTAGAGAGTCCACTGACTGTGTGTTGGTGACAGGGCCTTCACTCCCCTGGCTGCTCCATCTCCTCTCCACAGCAGAGTCCTGACCCGACTGGGTCTCTTCACGGTCAGCAGGCGGACCGCTGCCCTCCAGGACCGCTATCTGAGGAGAGAACCACAGAATGGACAGTCAACTTCTTCTCCACTAGGTCTGTTCTAATGTTGAAGTGTCTTTCTTCCAATATGTTCCTCTTACCCTGTCCTGCAGGCTTTCAAGCTGCTCCTTGTACCATCGATCCTTCTCGTCTAGAACTTTCTTCATCTCCTCCTCCTTCTTCACAAAGTCAATCTCCCTGGAAAGGAATCAGACCATTAGACTTCATAAATCATTCCATCGACATATAAACATATTGTACTTTCTACACAACATGACTCAGCGTAGTGGAAGGCCTTCCGCCTGTTCAGAGCATGGGAAGCTCAGGTCAACACAGAAACTCACTCAGCTGAAGTCGAGACTTCTAAATAATGCAATAATGCACGTCTAACCTGGCCCTTAGTGAACTCAACTCACTTCTGCTGGTAGTCCTTGAGCAGTTTTTTGGCCTTGTTGTATTTCTTGTCCAGGGCCTCGTACTGGCTCTGGGTCTCCGACAGTTGCTTGTTGACAGTTTTACACAGATCCTGGGCCTCCAGCCAGTCCTTCTCCAGCTTCAACATCTTCTCATTATTCTCCTCAATCTTCTGCTCCAACTCAACCTCCATGGGCTCCCTGGATGCGTTGTCCTCCTCGGACGCCCTTAGCTGTAGAGGAAGAGTGAAATGTATTTTTAGTACCTAAATGTAAGGGCTTCTCATCTACTAGTAAAATCAACATATTCAAATAATTTCGGTCAGTCAGATGACAGACAGGCAGAGACAGAGAGCATGACTGATGACATTTATGGTTGGTCACCGGGCTGGCGACAGCTTACACTACAAGCATTGATCATACCTTTTCCTTCAGTTGGTTTATTTCAGCTGTTGCTATGCTTTGTTTCAGCTGGAGCTAGGGTAAAGAAATAAACAATTTAAGTAACAAAAACAAGCACATATCACACAAATAATTACACATCCACCATACTGTAAACTTGTGATAATTCTAGCATTTGAAATACCTCCTTGAATTTCAAGCCCATCTGTGTGGAGTCCACGTTGGAGGGCTTGAACATGGCCTCGGTCTCCGGCAGGTCAGACACCTCCACAGTCCTTCCGCCGGAGAAACTAGACTCTAGGATGCCTCCCTCCTCTCCATCCTCTTCCTCGTAGTGCTCCTCCTGAAACACAACCAACCACAACCACACAATGACATCACGCAGCCAATCACCTGCCCACGTGGCGCCCAGCAGCTCGGCTCGGAGCCCAGGGGGGAGGTATGGGTAATCACTACATCATATCCCAGTGTTACCGTGGTAGCCTGCAGAGAGCCCAACAGGAGGCCTGTATCAGCAGGAAATTCATATATTCTGCTCATCAACATGTTCCATCACACACACACACACACACACACAACCCCAAACATGAGCCACCGCACAGAAAAAGATAACACACAAAGCCCCATCACACAACCACACACTACTGCACAGATTATTTGCATACACACATAGAAATGACCAAATTTGTTCACCACGACCAACAGCTCCTTGAACAGGAGTAGCACGGCATTCAAAGTGCCTTCGAAAGTATTCAGACCCCTTGACTTTTTCCACATTTTGTTACGTTACAGCCTTATTCCAAAATGGATTAAATTAATTAATTGTTTTCCTCATCAATCTACACACAATACCCCATAAGGACAAAGCGAAAACAGATTTTTAGAAATGTTTGCAAATGTATTCAAAATAAAAAACAGAAATACCTTATTTACATAAGTATTCAGACCCTTTGCTATGAGACTCGAAATTGAGCTCAGGCGCATCCTGTTTCCATTGATCATCCTTGGGATGTTTCTACAACTTGATTGGAGTCCACCTGTGGTAAATCCAATTGATTGGACATGATTTGGAAAGGCACACACCTGTCTATTTAAGGTCCTACAGTTCACAGTGCATGTCAGAGCAAAAACCAAGACAGGATTGTGCCGAGGCACAGATCTGGGGAAGGGTACCAAAAAATGTCTGCAGCATTGAAGGTCCCCAAGAACACAGTGGCCTCCATCATTCTTAAATGGAAGAAGTTTGGAACCACCAAGACTCTTCCTAGAGCTGGCCACCCGGCCAAACCGGAAATCAGGGGAGAAGGGCCTTGGTCAGGGAGGTGACCAAGAACCCGATGGTCACTCTGACAGAGCTCCAGAGTTCCTCTGTGGAGATGGGAGAATCTTCCAGATGGACAACCATCTCTGCAGCGCTCCACCAATCAGGCCTTTATGGTAGAGTGGCCAGACGGAAGCCACTCCTCAGTAAAAGACACATGACAGCCCGCTTGGAATGTGCCAAAAGGCACCTAAAGGACTCAGACCATGAGAAACAAGATTCTCTGGTCTGATGAAACCAAGATTGAACTCTTTGGCCTGAATGCCAAGCGTCATGTCTGGAGAAAACCTGGCACCATCCCTACGGTGAAGCATGGTGGTGGCAGCACCATGCTGTGGGGATGATTTCAGCGACATGGGGTAGGAGACTGGTCAGGATCGAGGGAAAGATTAACGGAGCAAAGTATTATTATAAAATATTTGTTTTGTTATTTAGCAGACGCTCTTATCCAGAGTGACTTACAGTTAGTGAGTGCATACATTTTCATACTGGCCCCACGTGGGAATCGAACCCACAACCCTGGCATTGCAAGCGCCATGCTCTACCAACTGAGCTACACGGGACTGTACAGAGAGATCCTTGATGAAAGTCTGCCCCAGAGCGCTTTGGATCTCAGACTGAGGCGAAAGTTCCCCTTCCAACAGGACAACGACCCTATGCACAGAACAAGACAATGCAGGAGTGGCTTCGGGACAAGTCTCTGAATATTCTTGAGTGGCCCAGCCAGAGCCCGGACTTGAACCTGATCGAACATCTCTGGAGAGACCTGAAAATAGCTGTGAAGCGACGCTTCCCATCCAACCCGACAGAGCTTGAGAGGATCTGCAGAGAAGAATGGGAGAAACTTCCAAAATACAGGTGTGCCAAGCTTGTAGCGTCATACCCAAAAAGACTCAAGGCTGTAATAGCTTACAAAGGTGCTTCAACAATGTACTGAGTAAAGGGTCTGAATACTTATGTAAATGTGATATTTCTGTATTTTTTTAAAAATACATTTGCACAAATGTCTAAAAACCTGTTTTTTCTTTGTCATTATGGGGTATTGTGTGTAGATTGATGAGGGGGAAAAAACTATTTAATCAATTTTAGAATAAGGCTGTAACGTAACAAAATGTGGAAAAAGTCAAGGGGTCTGAATACTTTCCCAATGCACTGTATCTATATGATATGCTCCACAATGGGACATGTACACTGAGTGTACAAAACATTAAGAACACCTTCCTAATATTGAGTTGCACCCCCCCTTTTGCCCTCAGAACAGCCTCAATTCGTCTGGGCATGGCCTCTACAAGGTGTTGAAAGTGTTCCACAGGGATGCTGGCCCATGTTGACTCCAATGCTTCCCACAGTTATGTCAAGTTGGCTGGATGTCCTTTGGGTGGTGGAATATTCTTGATACACACGGGAAACTGTTGAGCGTGAAAAACCCAGTAGCGTTGCAGTTTTTAAAACAAACTGGTGCGCCTGGCACCTACTACCAAACCCCATTCAAAGGCACTTAAAGCTTTTGTCTTGCCCATTCACCCTCTGAATGGCACACATACACAATCCATGTCTCAATTGTCTCAAGGCTTAAAAATCCTTCTTTAACCTGTTTCATCTCTTCATCTACACTGATTGAAGTGGATTTAACAAGTGACATAATAAGGGATCATAGCTTTCACCTGGTCAGTCTATGTCATGGAAAGAGCAGGTGTTCTTAATGTTTTGTATAATCATTGTATATCGCCTTTTATCAGATCCAATAGGTTTAAGCTTTGTCTCTTTTCCAGGTGCCCTACCTTTTCATGCCCAGTTCCCTTTCTAAATAAAGGCATGTGGTTGCCTGTGCTTTTGAAAAGCAAACATTGCACAATTCCAGCAGGCTCCAGCAGCCACCCCACCCACATAGCACCAGGGTTACTCACTGCTCCCTTCCCGGATGGAGCGTGACTGGCTTGGGTTAACCAACGGGCCAGGGACCAGGGTCGGGCCAGGTGACTCACCTCCTCGGTGGACTGTTCATAGGGGTCGTCCAGGTGCTGCTGCTCCTGCTCGCTCTTCTCCTGCTCCAGGGTCTCGCTGATCAGACGCGCCACCTCGCTCTGCGTCCCCGGCTTCTCCCGGCCAATCAGAAAGCTGTTTGTGTGACAATAATAAAAACAAACCAATTTATTCAATATTTCTCAATTTTTCAAGGAAATGTATTTTCTTCCAGTCATACCTAATCACTTAAAGATAGCTATGAGGTAATTTTGTGGGAGGCTCCATTACTGCCACACCTTAATCTCATGTTCCCAGATGACCTAGAACTCTGGGGGCGAGGCTAGCCACACCGAGGATGATTACGACTTATTTCAAAGGGCCTACTAGAGCTGGACTCTGAGCTCACCTGACTGTTCCTTTAGTGTTCTTCAGCACTGTAGCAGCAAACAGCTGGGTCACTCCTACCAGACTGATCCCATCCACCTCCACTATCTGGTCATTAACCTGGATCCTAGTGGAAAGGACAACATGCAATCATAAGGCAAGACATTTGAGACATATTGTATGTTGGAAAGAGGGCGTGCAATCAACAGGGGAGGATATTTGAGAAATGTACTGTAACTACGTTGTAGTGACTCTTTTCCACAACATAAGGCCAGATACCCTGGGAAACAGAAGGAGCCATTTTCTTTCGGTGCCTCACAGGGTTATAAATACAGTCAGTTGTTTAGAAATGTCTCCTTCTGTTTCCCAGGGTATCTGGCCTTATGTTGTGGAAAAGAGTCACTACAACGTAGTTACAGTACATTTCTCAAATATCCTCCCCTGTTGATTGCACGCCCTCTTTCCAACATACAATTTGTCTCTTGACCCTTGTGAACCCTTTGACATCCCGACAGTGTTGTGGATCATCGTGATGGGCCTATAACTTACAACACATTTTAACTGCCACGGTTAAAACACGGTTAAAACTTTAATGCTTCGGTTAAGCACAGTGGAGCGCAGCACGTTACCCCAAAGGGCTGGGCATCACCTGCCATCCCGTTCAGCTGCTCCCCGCTCAGTTATGGTCTTCACAAAGATTCCTAGTTTCTCCAGGCCCTGGTCAGCTCCCACTCCCATCCCTATGATACTGATGCCCAGGCCGTTGTCTCCTGTGGGGCAAAGAAAGATGGGGAGTTAGAATGGATGGATGGGACTGCATTCTCTGGACCCTTGTGATGATGATGATGATGATGATGCATCTTGGCCAGGGCTGCCTTGTAAAAAAAATCTCAATGGTACTCAAAGGGACGATGGTACTCAATGGTACTAATAAAGGAAAGATTAAAGACAGACAAGAAGACGGACCCTTTTCAATTTCCACGGGGAACACGTCCATCTTCTCCACCCTCTTCTCCAGCTCGTACTCAGCCGACGCCGCCACGGGATCCACCTCATCGTTGCGCCGGTCGTAATCCTCGTTAGAGTAGGTGCTGAACACCTGCAGTGTGGGAACACAAGCACAGGGGGCTTACAACTAGGTACACCACTTCCCCACACTCCAACAACAAGCAATGGACTTAAGGGCCAGACACATATTCTGTCTCTGTACTCATAGAACTGGTGTTATTCTCTAAAATAAGTCTGTTCTGCTGAGAACTAGTCTATTTATTAGTCTCTACTGTGGTTATGAGTTTCAATAAATATCAAGCAGACTAGGCCTTGATGTCTTGAACGCTAACCCTTCATTAGTTATCAATAAAAAAGTGCTCCCAGTGCCATCCACTCTTGTTCACCCTTTGCCAGTGAAAGAGGCTTTTGTGCCTTAGTTTTTGGACAGTGAGGTAACTTGCAGTCTCACTAGTTTACAGCAAACAAAAGCACTGAGGCATGCAAATGCCAGTATGCACAAAGACACACTGTTACAGGGATTTCATTAAGGTTTAAAGAACCTATGATTTCAGCAGACATAACATCAGAGCACTAGCTCAGTCTCCGTTCAGTTCAGAGACGATGTAGCGGTTTCCTTGTTAGGATCCTAGTCGCACAAAGTGTGGCTGGCAAAGCACACCCCGCCCCGAGAGAAAGTAGGCCACAGCTGGGAGGAAAAGAGTGGATGTGGCAAAGATCAATGCTCTGTGGCAACAGGTGGTAATCCTCAGTGCTAAAATGAATAGCTCACAGAAAGCCTGTATTCAGTCAGCAATCTCTTGCCCTCTGTTAGCTTTCATTACAGGTGGGCATTATCCCCACCATATCTGTGAATAAATCAAACATCACACAGTTCATTTAGCCGGCATACCGCGTGTATAGAGCATGTTGATAGAGCATGGCGTTTGCAACGCCAGGGTTGTGGGTTCGATTCCCACAGGGGGCCAGTATAAAAAAAAATATGTATTCACTAACTGTAAGTCGCTCTGGATAAGAGCGTCTGCTAAATTACTAAAATGTAAATGTATTTATTGGCTGACATGGCCGCCTTCCATAATCTAATCTGTGAAACACTCCTAGGGTCACGTTAAGGTGCTCTCTGCTCTCTGGAGAACCATCTGCTGGCAGTGACTACGTTATCAGGATGTATTAAAAAAGGTATGTATCCAATCTATCTAAAGCGGCTTGGGCTGTGGGCTCCCAGGCCTGTATGGTGTGTCCTCTCCTCAGTCACAAGGTGATATCCAGCCAGAAAGACAGAGAGCCAGAGCAAGCAGCACAGCCAGCTGGGATTTCAAAGCTGCTTTTTACAGATGATCTCAGATCTGCTCTGAGAGAAGAGAGCTCTACTGATAGTGGGGACAGAATAGAGCGGACCACACATTAGTCTTCAGCTTTGATATTCTTCAGACATCCTGTGTCAAGAACTGCAGGAAACGCACTCAAAATCAAATGTGTTGCTGGCTGCAGGAAACTGAGGAAAGGGAAGATATGTTTAGGTTTAAAAGAGGGGAATGCGGAGTCTACAACTGTCAAAGCCAAGGGAATGAACTCTAGTCTAGAGTTGTTCTGTTCTCCCTAATTTCTAAGGCATGGGGTCAGCTTCAAGTGTGACCTCACTGTAACAACAGCATAGTTGTTACCTCATGCAACCACAGCGCCTTAGACCTGACCCAATGTGTTATTACAACCCATTGACGAGCTCAGAAAAGTGGGGCCCACTGTTAGTCAGAGCATGCACTATTCTGAACAAAAATATAAACACAGCATGCAACAATTTCAAAGATTTTGCTGAGTTACAGTTCATAGAAGGAAATCAGTCAATTGAAATAAATAAATGAGTCCCTAATCTACAGATTTCACATGACTGGGCAGGGGCGCAGCCATGGGTGTGCCTGGGTGGGCATAGGCCCTCCCACTTGGGAGCCAGGCCCAGCAAATCAGAATGAGTGTTTCCCCACAAAATCGCATTATTACAGACAGAAATACTCAACTTCTTGATATGCCAGACCTGTCAGGTGGATGGATTATCTTGGTAATGAAGAAATGCTAACTAACAGGGATGTAAACAAATTTGTGAACAAAATTTGAGAGAAATAAGCTTTTTGTGCATATGGAACATTTCTGGGATCTTTTATTTCAGCTCATGAAACATGGAACCAACACTTTACATGTTGCGTTTATATTTTTGTTCAGTATAGTAAAGAACACCAGAGACGGACACAAACTGGCTTACTCATTCTTCAGAGGATAGATGTATCCTAGCCTGCTATCTACTAAGGGCGTTTTCTCACACAGTTCTGAGCTATAGTTCGAATCAGAGTTTGATTATTTGTTACATTGTATTTTTTTCCATTTGGTCTGGTTGGTTTCATATTGCCAAATGTCAAACAAACTAAGATGCCCAAACAAAACCACATGTTCATGCAAGTCATTTGTTTACTGGGCAAAAATGCTCAGGTTAAATCCAGCTATGATCATCATGGAGCATCACTTGTGTGTCCCAAATATTCATATCACTTTCGCGTTGGTCTTCCAACAACATGCGGGAGGAAAGCGCAATAGCCGCTATAACTGCGACGTGCAGAGAATACATTCAGTAGCATATACAGTGGGGGGAAAAAAGTATTTAGTCAGCCACCAATTGTGCAAGTTCTCCCACTTAAAAAGATGAGAGAGGCCTGTAATTTTCATCATAGGTACACGTCAACTATGACAGACAAATTGAGGAAAAAAAATCCAGAAAATCACATTGTAGGATTTTTAATGAATTTATTTGCAAATTATGGTGGAAAATAAGTATTTGGTCAATAACAAAAGTTTCTCAATACTTTGTTATATACCCTTTGTTGGCAATGACACAGGTCAAACGTTTTCTGTAAGTCTTCACAAGGTTTTCACACACTGTTGCTGGTATTTTGGCCCATTCCTCCATGCAGATCTCCTCTAGAGCAGTGATGTTTTGGGGCTGTCGCTGGGCAACACAGACTTTCAACTCCCTCCAAAGATTTTCTATGGGGTTGACATCTGGAGACTGGCTAGGCCACTCCAGGACCTTGAAATGCTTCTTACGAAGCCACTCCTTCGTTGCCCGGGCGGTGTGTTTGGGATCATTGTCATGCTGAAAGACCCAGCCACGTTTCATCTTCAATGCCCTTGCTGATGGAAGGAGGTTTTCACTCAAAATCTCACGATACATGGCCCCATTCTTTCTCATTTTGTCTGTCATAGTTGACATGTACCTATGATGAAAATTACAGGCCTCTCTCATCTTTTTAAGTGGGAGAACTTGCACAATTGGTGGCTGACTAAATACTTTTTCCCCCCACTGTATCCCCTGTATAGCCCCCGTCCCCCTAAATCTGCATAGGATGTGCTCATAAAAGCGCTGCTACTCACAACATTTTTCAAAGATATCAAGTTATGATAATGCGTGCATTTTCTCAAAAGCTCACAGTCAAACAACCAATAATACTATGCGTCTCTGGTTCTTTTCCCGAGTTTGGTCCGGACTGCGTTCACACCTGTAGCGAACCGCACCCACGGTAAGAATGGAAACCGAGACCACCCTTTTTGAGCGAACCACAGTGCGTTGTTTGGTGCACACCCGGGTGCGGATAGTGTTCACACCAGTCCAAACGAACCAAACTAAGGGGGTAAACGTGCCCCCCCCCAAAAAAACAACAACAAAACAAACACTCCCCATGGTTTAGACCTTAGATGTCTAACTGGGAGAGACTAATCCTCTCCCTTCATGGCGGTTCATGGCCGTTGTGATCTCCAAGTGCTCCCCAGATGTTGCGACTGGTAAGGATGTATGGTCCAGGAGATTAACGCAAGCCACCCTCAGAGACAGAGAGAGGTTGCCTTCTGCCAAGGTAGGCAGAGAGTGACTGAGCAAGGCTATATGATTAGAGATTAGAACTGGATTCATTTGGAAGCTTGGATGGAGTAATAGTGAGAAGGCTGCATGATGCAATCCAGTAAACATTTCCACTCCGAGAAGCCCAGTCTGAGGTCTGGGTGCTGGAGCATGTCAGGACTTGAGGAACCTGGCAGGCGCTCAGTGGGAGTAGGAGACGACCGACCGTCCGTCTCTGTGTAGACCGCTATGGGTTCTCACAAGCACATTCCCATATAAACAGATTAGAATCCAAAGGGTTTGCACACACTACTGCAATTTTGTGGTGAAGGGAAGAATGGCATTTTCATCATTTTACTAGAGGTAGATCTAGATTTTGACCATGTCCGTGGGTATAATCTACTCATAGCTGAACACTATATCCCCTGCCTGCATCCCATGCTTAGGCTTTATTCTCCTAGCTGGACAGACAATGCTTAAGCTTGGACACAGGCAATGCCATCTCACGTGGTATTGAGATGAGTGGATTTGCCAATTAATACAGGATGTACAGTTAAAATGCTCTCTGGCATTTCAAATGAAAATAGTTTAGTCCAAGTACATCAGTCTTTGGATTATGTGACACACACATTTACTAAGGTTGAGAACAGTGTGCTCTAGAAAAAGTCTGTGTGAACAATGAAATCAGATTGGTTTGGGATTTAATAGCCAATTAAAATCCAAACGAATCAATAAAACCAAAGCAGACAGAAATGTCATTAAGGATGAAAAAAGGCTTGGTTTTGGGGGTGTACAGTAATTAACTGGAGAAAACGTTATAGAAAATGTAATTGTAGAACGGCGGGAACACACTGATGCATCCCAGGCCTCAGTTGGACTGCAGTGGTTTTGCTTGGCTTCTCCCCTCTCACTTCTTTTGTTCGACTTTCCTGTTGCCATGGAATACTCCAGCTATTCGGAACAATGTTCCTTTCTCTGCCCCTGAAACCTAATCACTCAAGCACTGTCTTCCACAGAAGAAAGAGACTCTGGAATCAATGTCTTTATTAACCCAGAAAAAAACACAGCTTGCTGTTGTTATCACCAATCTCCAGTTACCATGCGAAACAACCATTTACCTTTATCTCTGTGTGCAGGCCTGTTGGTTGGCCAGGTAAGGGTCGCAATTGGTTCAATTCTGGAGGCCAAACTTTCAGTGAACATCATTAAGCCTGCCCTACGCTGACTAGGACAAGCAGATTCAGATCAAAAATCCATCAAGCGCATAGTATTCTCTTTGACTACTGAGCTGAAAGCTTGGCAATTAATGTAGCATTTTATTGTTGGTAATTTTGTGCCCCTAAATCTTGAATGGGGTGGCAGAAGCTGTGATGTGGCTTGGTAAACCGTAGTGCCATCTGCTTCATATTTTCTGTTTCTCCATGGCTTGTGAAAGCCTGTCTCCACGCACGCCTGTCTTGACAATTACGCTTCATCCACCTTCAACCACCACAGAGGGATGACTGCCTGCTGTACACACACACACACATACTTTCCCCCTCTCCCATTACCCCTTCCCCCCCAAAAAATACCACTGTGGGAAATGAGTCAGCAGCTGGGAGGGAAGCTAACCAGAGAAGCCCACGCTGCACCAGGGCACTAAAAGCGAGCGCTGAGTGCTGGATTGGGACGAGCACATAATGTAAGCAGCTCTACAAAGACAACAAATGAAAACATGCTGTGGGAGCAGGGCAGGGGCCTGGTGCAGATCATACAGTAATTAGGAAAGAAAGTATGCCGCCAAGTTATTCAGTCCTGAATAAACAGAGCACAGAATAGGTCCAATACTTCCTGCTAGCATGCTCTACAAAAAGATAGGACCAGATAAAAAATATACACTACCGGTCAAAAGTTTAAAACACCTACTCAAGGGTTTTTCTTTATTTTGTACTATTTTCTACATTGTAACTACATCAAAACTATGAAATAACACATATGGAATCATGTAGTAACCAAAAAAGTGTTAAACAAATCAAAATATATTTTATATTTGAGATTCTTCAAATAGCCACCCTTTGCCTTGATGACAGCTTTGCACACACTTGGCATTCTCTCAACCAGCTTCATGAGGTAGTCACCTGGAAAGCATTTCAATTAATAGGTGTGCCTTCTTAAAAGTTACTTTGTGGAATTTCTTTCCTTCTTAATGCATTTGAGCCAATCAGTTGTGTTATTACAAGGTAGGGGGTGGGGGGGTATCCTGAAGATAGCCCTATTTGGTAAAATACCAAGTCCATATTATGGCAAGAACAGCTCAAATAAGCAAAGAGAAACGACAGTCCATCATTACTTTAAGACATGAAGGTCAGTCAATACGGAACATTTCAAGAACTTTTAAAGTTTCTTCAAGTGCAGTCGCAAAAACCATCAAGCGCTATGATGAAACTGGCTCTCATGAGGACCGCCACAGGAATGGAAGACCCAGAGCTACCTCTGCTGCAGAGGATAAGTTCATTAGAGTTACCAGCCTCAGATATTGCAGCCCAAATAAATGCTTCACAGAGTTCAAGTAACAGACACATCTCATCATCACCTGTTCAGAGGAGACTGCGTGAATCAGGCCTTCATGGTCGAAATGCTGCAAAGAAACCACTACTAAAGGACACCAATAAGAAGAAGAGACTTGTTTGGGCCAAGAAACACGAGCATTGGACATTAGACCGGTGGAACTTTGTCCTTTGGTCTGGAGTCCAAATTTGAGATTTTTGGTTCCAACCGCTGTGTCTTTGTGACGCAGTGTGAGTGAACAGATGATCTCTGCATGTGTATTTCCCACCGTAAAGCATGGAAGAGGATGTGTTATGGTGTGGGGGTGCATTGCTGGTGACACTGTGATTTATTAAGAATTCAAGGAACACTTAACCAGCATGGCTACCACTGCATTCTGCAGCGATACACCATCCCATCTGGTTTGGGCTTAGTGGGACTATCATTTGTTTTTCAACAGGACAATGACCCAACACACCTCCAGGCTGTGTAAGGGCTATTTTACCAATAAGGAGAGTGATGGAGTGCTGCATCAGATGACCTGGCCTCCACAATCCCCCCGACCTCAACCCAATTGAGATGGTTTTGGATGAATCGGACCGCGGAGTGAAGGAAAAGCAGCCAACAAGTGCTCAGCATATGTGGGAACTCCTTCAAAGACTGTTGGAAAAGCATTCCAGGTGAAGCTGGTTGAGAGAATGCCAACAGTGTGCAAAACTGTCATCAAGGCAAAGGGTGGCTATTTGAAGAATCTCAAATATAAAATATATTTTGATTTGTTCAACACTTTTTTGGTTACTACATGATTCCATGTGTTCTTTCATAGTTTTGATGTCTTCACTATTATTCTACAATGTAGAAAATAGTAAAAATAAAGAAAAACCCTTGAATGAGTAGGTGTTCTAAAACCTTTGACCGTTAGTGTACACTGGTTCAATAACAAATAAATCAGTCAAATAGGCCTCCTTTTCAACTCTACCTTTGAAGAAATAAACAATGAATTAATCACTCTGGAAAAGCACTTATAGTGACTGACTGTTTAATTGTGAGAAAGAGGCCATACCCCAACCCTGTGTTTGGTGATATGGAGTCAGAGGGATAGAATGCGGCTGGGTTCTATTTTGGAATCATATTCAAAGGAGCGTGGAGTAGAGACAGGTTGAACAGGTTTGCTTACAAATGGCCCACAGACTCAGATTAACAGGCACCTCTCGTGCCCTGCTATGACAGCTGATAAAAACCCTCAGATACCACTTAGTCTTCTGTCAACCAGCTAAGTGAAAACAACAGTTATTGATGTACTTACTTTTAATCACATAATGAAACACAGTATGAGGCAATCACAATCAGCCCCAGACTAGTCGGACTCTCCCTGTGCCAAAGAGCGAAAAGGCAGCATTGAGGCAGCTTTATTAGTATTCAGGCCCATCACTCCAGTCTCCAGCCCAATACTAGTCCAGGTGTCTGGACAGAGCCCAGATCCTGGCAGGCAGGTCCTCCCTCTCCTCACCTCTCCTCTCTGGCTTCTCTGCTGGCTGGGTAAGGGTGGAGTGCAATGTTCCCTCAAAAACATTAGGCACTGAGCAAATTTCAGGTCTGCTGTGAACGTTGTGAAAATTCTGTGCAACTTCCAGCGTGCGTTTACTGTGAACACTGAGGCTTTACCTGCTTTAAGTTACAGTTTTAACAGTGGCCAAGTAGGCTACTTGATCATAATGTAGGCCTACCAGAGTGGCCGACCATCAAAAACATTGGAGAAAATGCATCCCATAACATGTTAACATGGAAATAGCTGTTCTATCATTCAGCCTAAAGTAGCAGCCAATGTGTGGTGTTTAACGTAGGCCTACATTCCATGAGAGTTTTGAAAAAAACATGCAGGGCTTGACATTAACCCGTTTATCCACTTGTCCTTCAGACAAGGTGGTGACTGGAAAAGTTTTTGTGTTGTTTGATGCAAGAAACCACTTTACGCTACTAACTCACTAACTAGCAAAGGATATGAACAAAATGTCCACACATGGCTACATCCAGCTCTTGCTTTGATCTCAAAACAAGCGCATCTACTCACGACCACAGCTGTAAACATAGTCCAATTCAAAGTAAATGGCACAGATCCATATATGGCAATGGTAGATTTGCATATAGGCCTACTGCAGCTCTGATTGGTTATGGCGCACGGGTCTGTGTAGAGTACAGGCTGAGTCATGCCCAATAGAATCCTACTCCGATTCATTCTGCCTACAACAAACTCTCTTGCATAATTTGTTTTGTTTCGGTATGTCATATTGAAAGTGACTAATATTGCGTTGATTCGATCACAATTGCCACAGTAAAGGGAAAGGTTGATAGTGTTAACAGGGAAAACTCTACAAAGTTGAGTGAAGTTCAATCTCGTTCTTCTCTCCGTGGGCTGATATTTCTTCTGCGCGGCAGTCTCAGGGCTACTGCATGCACAGCTTCAAGGGAACATTGGTGGAGTGTGTCAGACACATTCCTCTGGCCACCAATAGAATGAAACAGAGACAGGAAATGAAAGTATAACATTTTGTGGAGGGGATGTATAGGAGTAGCCCCTCCTGGAGTGTCCATGACTAGAGTAGTGCCGCCGAACGGTATCTACGCTCACTCCCTCTCCACTTTCCAGGATTCACACACAGGAAATTGAGCAGGAAGGAGAGGAGAGGCAGAACCCACTGCTGTGAACAAAGGGCATGCCTCAACAGGATAATTGTTTTGTAGAACAACTGTGAGAAAGTCACTTCTGGTGACTTTTTAAAAAGACATTCTACTTAAAAATGCATAAAAATGTAATTATGTTGACACCATCTGAAATATAACTGATTCGCCCCACTGCACTGTAGAGAGATGAGGAGCAAGCAGGGGCTGTGCGCTTGTGCCTCTCATTAGCGCCACTGCTCCTTCTGTTTGCAACAAATATACATTGTAACTTGTCAATCTGATCTTAAAAGGGATAGTGCGATATTTTGGCAATTAAGCCCTTTTTATACTTACCCAGATGAACTCATGGATACAATTTTTGTCTCTGCGTGCAGTTTGAATGAAGGAAGTTGAAGGTAGTTTTGCGAGCCACTGCTAACTAGCGTTAGCGCAATGACTGGACATATGCTAGCTGTTCCCATAGACTTCCAGTCACCCGGACCCGCCCTATAGGACTCCCAATCACGGCCGGTTGTGATACAGCCTGGAATCGAACCAGGGGGTTTGTAGTGACGCCTCAAGCACTGAGATGCAGTGCCTTAGACCACTGCGCCACTCGGGAGATCATCCGTTCAACAACACCGCGTCTCACAAAGACACAGCGGTTGGAACCAAAAATCTCCAATTTGGACTCCAGATCAAAAGGACAACTTTCCACTGGTCTAATGTCCATTGCTCGTGTTTATTGGCCCAAGCAAGTCTCTTCTACTTATTGGTGTCCTTTAGAAGTGGTTTCTTTGCAGCAATTCGACCATGGCCTGATTCACACAGTCTCCTCTGAACAGGTGATGTTGAGATGTGTCTGTTACTTGAACTATGTGAAGCATTTATTTGGGCTGCAATTTCTGAGGCTGGTAACTCTAATGAACCTATCCTCTGCAGCAGAGGTAACTCTGGGTCTTCCATTCCTGTGGCGGTCCTCATGAGAGAGACAGTTTCATCATAGCGCTTGATGGTTTTTGCAACTGCACTTGAAGAAACGTTCAAAGTTCTTGACATTTTCCGTATTGACCTTCATGTCTTAAAGTAATGATGGACTGTTGTTTCTCTTTGCTTATTTGAGCTGTTCTTGCCATAAAATGGACTTGCTCTTTTACCAAATAGGGCTATTTTCTGTATACCCCCCCTACCTTGTCCCAACACAACTGATTGGCTCAAACGCATTAAGGAGGAAAGAAATTCCACAAATTAACTTTTAAGAAGGCACACCAGTTAATTCAAATGCATTCCAGGTGACTACCTCATGAAGCTGGTTGAGAGAATGCCAAGAGTCTGCAAAGCTGTCATCACGGCAAAGGGTGGCTATTTGAAGAATCTCAAATATATTTTGATTTGTTTAACACTTTTCTGGCTACTACATGATTCCATATGTGTTATTTCATAGTTTATGTCTTTACTACTATTCTACAATGTAGAAAATAGTAACAATAAAGAAAAACCCTTGAATGAGTAGGTGTTCTAAAACTTTTGACCGGTAGTGTATGTTTTACCATTATTTATCTATTTTAATCCTTTACACGTGTGGGAATTGGCCTATATGGATAGGGCTACATTTAAATGTTTCTTACAGAATGAATATGAAAAGAATGGTAGCAACTGAAAGGCAACAGTTTGGAAATTATGGGAAAATGATTAGACCAAAGTTGAGAACAAAACAGCTCACCTGACACAAGACTGAATCCAAACCATAATCTGTTGATTTGAGAATTTTCATTTACTGTACTTTTCACATTTGTTGATAACGAAATCTGAATATACACTGGATACAGAGTAAAATCATAAGAATATTCCTGGAAAATGTGGGGTAGGTGCAACATAAGACAAAATAAATGTAAAGGGTTTGAGTGAGAGGTCTAACTGTAGTATCCAAGTGGCTACACACCTATCCAAAGTGTGCACAGTTCCTAAGTCATTTCAATGCACTTTTATGACTTAAAGAAGAATCCTCAACCACAAGGTACTTTTTTGAGCTCTCCTAGCTGTTGAGGAACTACAGCAAGCACACTTGTAGTTTTGTTTGGAACACAGCCCTGCATCCCTGCCATCACACAATTACTGTTGTTGTTTACGCAATCCAAAAACATCCCATTATAATTCGCAATCTGGGTCAGGTGGGCATAATTTGTTCTATTGCCAACATGACTAGCTAAGTTATAAAATTCGATCTTACAGTGTTAGGCTTTCACAGGGCAAATCAGAGAAACAGATCGAAATGTTGTGCATAGAAAGTAGTCAAGAGTGCATTCAGGTGCATGTTCTGCTGCGAATCGTCTTCATAATAGACAAACATAGGTTCATTCTGTTCAGAACAACCCAGGGTGTGACGCCATGTCATCTTGTAACTGTACATCAAACATAGTCATCCTAAATGTTGACACAGGGCCTTCAGAAAGTATTCATAACCCTTGACTTGTTCCACATCGTGTTACAGCCTGAATTCAAAATGGATGAAATTGATGTTTTTTTCTCACCATCTACACACAATACAGTGCCTTGCAAAAGTATTCCTCCCCTTGGCGTCTTTCCTATTTTGTTGCATTACAACCTGTCATTTAAATTGATTTTTATTTGGATTTCATGTAATGGACATACACAAAATAGTCCAAATTGGTGAAGTGTAATGAAAAAAATTACTTGTTAAACAAATTATAGAAAATAGATAACGGAAAAGTGGTGCGTGCATATGTATTCACCCCCTTTGCTATGAAGCCGCTAAATAAGATCTGGTGCAACCAATTACCTTCAGAAGTCACATAATTAGCTAAATAAAGTCCACCTGTGTGCAATCTAAGGGTCACATGATCTGTCACATGATCTCAGTATATATACACACACCTGTTCTGAAAGGCCCCAGAGTCTGCAACACCACTAAGCAAGGGGCACCACCAAGCAACAACAGGTAGGTAGGTAACAACACATCTGCCACACTGATCCTCAACACGGGGGCCCCTCAGGGGTGCGTGCTCAGTCCCCTCCTGTACTCTCTGTTCACCCATGACTGCATGGCCAGGCACGACTCCAACACCATCATTAAGTTTGCCGACGACACAACAGTGGTAGGCCTGATCACCGACAACGATGAGACAGCCTATAGGGAGGAGGTCAGAGATCTGGCCGTGTGGTGCCAGGACAACAACCTCTCCCTCAACGTGACCAAGACAAAGGAGATGATTGTGGACTACAGGAAAAAAAAGAGGACTGAGCACGCCCCCATTCTCATCGACGGGGCTGTAGTGGAACAGGTTGAGAGCTTTAAGTTCCTTGGTGTCCACATCACCAACGAACTATCATGGTCCAAACACACCAAGACAGTCGTGAAGAGGGCACGACAAAGCCTATTCCCCCTCAGGAGACTAAAAAGATTTGGCATGGGTCCTCAGATCCTCAAAAAATTCTACAGCTGCACCATCGGGAGCATCCTGACTGGTTGCATCACCGCCTGGTATGGCAACTGCTTGGCCTCCGACCGCAAGGCACTACAGAGGGTAGTGCGTACGGCCCAGTACATCACTGGGGCAAAGCTTCCTGCCATCCAGGACCTCTATACCAGGCGGTGTCAGAGGAAGGCCCTCAAAATTGTCAAAGACTCCAGCCACCCTAGTCATAGACTGTTCTCTCTGCTACCGCACGGCAAGCGGTACCGGAGTGCCAAGTCTAGGTCCAAAAGACTTCTCAACAGCTTCTACCCCCAAGCCATAAGACTCCTGAACAGCTAATCATGGCTACCCGGACTATTTGCACTGCCCCCCGACCCCATCCTTTTTACGCTGCTGCTACTCTGTTAAGTATTTATGCATAGTCACTTTAACTCTACCCACATGTACATATTACCTCAACTACCTCAACTAGCCGGTGCCCCCGCACATTGACTCTGCAACGGTACCCCCCTGTATATATAGCCTCCCTACTGTCACTTTATTTTACTTCTGCTCTTTTTTTTTTCTCAACACTTTTTTTTGTTGTTGTTTTATTTTTACTTTTTTTGTTTAAAATAAATGAACTGTTGGTTAAGGGCTGTAAGTAAGCATTTCACTGTAATGTCTGCACCTGTTGTATTCGGCGCATGTGACCAATAAAATTTGATTTGATTTGATTTGAAAGCAAGCGGCACCATGAAGACCAAGGAGCTCTCCAAACAGGGTTGGGTTATAAAAAAATATCTGAAACTTTGAACATCCCACGGAGCACCTTTAAATCCATTATTTTAAAAAATGGAAAGAATATGGCACCACAACAAACCTGCCAAGAGAGGGCCGCCCACCAAAACTCACGGACCAGGCAAGGAGGGCATTAATCAGAGAGGCATTAAAGACACCAAAGATAACCCTGAAGGAGCTGCAAAGCTCCACTGTGGATATTGGAGTATCTGTCCATAGGACCACTTTAAGCCGTACACTCCACAGAGCTGGGCTTTACGGAAGAGTGGGCAGAAAAAAGCCATTGCTTAAAGAAAAAAAGAAGCAAACACATTTGATGTTCGCCAAAAGGCATGTGGGAGTCTCCCCAAACATATGAAAGAAGGTACTCTGGTCAGATGAGACTAAAATTGAGCTTTTTGGCCATCAAGGAAAACGCTATGTCTGGCGCACACCCAACACCTCTCATCACCCCGAGAACACCATCCATGCAGCTTTAATTGCTGCAAAAGGTGGCTCTACAAAGTATTGACTTTGGGGGGTGAATAGTTATGCACACTCAAGTTTTCAATTTTTTTGTCTTACTTCTTGTTTGTTTCACAATGAAAAATAGTTTGCATCTTCAAAGTGGTAGGCATGTTGTGTAAATCAAATGATACAAACCCCCTCAAAAAAATCAATTTTAATTCCAGGTTGTAAGGCAACAAAATAGGAAAAATGCCAAGGGGGTGAATACTTTCACAAGCCACTGTACCCCATAATGGCAAAGTGAAAACATGTTTTTTGATATTTTAGCAAATGTATTGAAAATGAAATACAGAAATATCTCATTTACATAAGTATTCACACCCCTGAGTGAATACTTTGTAGAAGCACCATTGGCAGCGATTACAGCTGTGAGTCTTTCTGGGTAAGTCTCTAAGAGCTTTCCACACCTGGATTGGGCAACATTTGTCCATTATTATTTTCAAAATTCTTCAAGCTCTGTCAAATTGGTTGTTGATCATTGCTAGACAACCATTTCCAGGTCTTGCCATAGTTTTGACTTAAATCTACTTGAAAATCTAACTCGGCCCCTCAGGAACATTCACTGTCTTCTTGGTGAGCAACTCCAGTGTAGATTTGGCCTTGTGTTTTAGATTATTGTCCTGCTGAAAGGTGAATTCATCTCCCAGTGTCTGGTGGAAAGCAGACTGAAGCAGGTTTTCCTCTAGGATTTTGCCTATGCTTAGCTCCATTCCATTACTTTTTTAAATTCTGAAAAACTCCCCAGTCCTTAACAATTACAAGCATACCCATAACATGATGCAGCCACCACTTTGCTTGAAAATATGGAGAGTGATATTCAGTAATGTGTTGTATTGGATTTGCCCCAAACATAGCACTTTGTATTCAGGACAAAAATGTCATTGCTTTTGCCACATTTGGAGTATTACTTTAGTGCCTTGTTGCAAACAGGATGCATGTTTTGGAAGTTTTTTATTCTGTGCAGGCTTCCACAATGTCAATTAGGTTCCTGCTGCCATTTTCTTTTCTCTGATGATTAACTCATTCTCAACTCCAAATGTCTACCGGACTCCAACAGCGATGAGCAGCACAGAACAATAGTTCAGTCAGCCCCTCTGGACAGTGAATTAACTGGACAAACTACAGTGTACTTACCTCTGTACTGCACACAGTATCTACAACAGGATAATAACACACCTGGAAGAGGGGAGTTACACCGCTCTCTACTATAATTCTACAACATGTGGTCATAGCATTGGTGTCAAGGTGAATGTGAATTTCAGCAGATACAGATTGCCGGGTGTGCTGTTTGTTAGACCTGTGGTTCACAGTTTCAACATAGCTGTGTGTGTCACACCACTCCATCATTTTCTTCAAATTAGGCCACACCTAGAAAACACAATTCCAACTGTACAGAGAGAAGAGGGTTTAACCCTTTCCTTACCTCTGCCTACGACACAATTTCATGTTTCAAAAGCTCTTTGAAGTAAGGCTGGGCGGTAGGTCCTAAAAATAATATATAGATTTTTTCATATTTATAGGCGATTCAAGATATCTAAATAAGTTTTGTTGCACAATTAAAAGGTCAATACACTGCATTTCAAACAGACAAGTATAATCAAATTAATTCAGGGCTAAATAAAAGCCTTCCAAAACCATAAGACCAACCAATAATTTAATTATTTGATCAAATTAGTTTAACATGCTTTTTTTGCAATAATCACTGATTTGGCTTTCAAGTCTGTCTATGACAGGGTTTCAATTAGGAAAATGTTGGGCCGGAAATTTGACCAGCAGCATTTTAATTTACCGGACATTTGAGAAATTGACCGTACCCATATGCATTGGGTGCATAACCTGATTAGGGCGTCAACACACAGTGCTCAGAATGACAGAAATCACATTTAGATTATGGTAATTCATATAAACTAAACATGCAAGTCGAGGATGAACGATGTGTGGTCCTTCTTACTGAATTCTGATGTGCACTTTGAAGATGTTAGAATAACTGTATTTTTCTCAGCCAACAAGACGAGTAACAAACAGCAAAATCACTAGCCTATGTCAACCTACTATCGCCCATAGTAGAAAAGTTTACCTATTCTATTGGTCAGCTTGTCGATAAAGAAATAGCCTATTCCAAACAGACTCTGGGACAGTTGTCAGACGATAGATCCCAAATTCATAAAACCAGTAGGCTTGGCTACATAAAAAAAATTACAAAACAAAATTAACCTTAAAAAGCAATTCGTCTGATGCAACAGATCAGAATGTTTATGATTATTGCGATACAGGCATTTGGCACATCGCATAAAACATACATTCAAATGAATTCGATATATTGCCCAGCCCTACTTTGAAGTAACAATAAAAGCAACGCAATATAACATAAACGATAGATTGTGCAAGAGATGTCTCGAAGATAAAACATATGTGGAAAAGACTACGGTATGTGTTTATGTTGAATATTTATCATCAGTAGGTTATGGGACTCCTTTAGCAACAGACTACTACCGACACAGCTGCTATGGGAATGCAGTATTCTGATGAGTACAAAGCATCAATTTAAGTTGAGATTCCTTAAGTAAAGCACAACCTTTATTTTTAAAGATGCATCAAGCAGAACAAGCAGATTAAGTACGCAGCTAATGGTATAGGAGTACAGGTGTCTGAAAATCAGTCTCAACTAATTTACAATCCATTCATTTGAGAAACAAACAGTAACTCTCCATATGTGCAACTGCAAACTGTCTTTTGAGCCTCGGTCAAGGGACATGTTCAGAATGGAAGTCTCCTGCAGCAGCTTGACAAAGAGGACCTTTCTTCCTCAGACGACAGGTCCCCTGTACAGGCTCAGGTTGCACACAAAGACCTAAATCCTGCTGCAGGCTGGAGCACAAAGCACTTCAACTCTCCTCTGAGAGCAGGCCAGGGCTCCAGAGCGGCCCGCTATGCCAGGCAGGGCCAGCTCAAACCAGCACACTGTCTGAGGCATTGTTGACTGAATACTCTAGTCAAGCACTACTAGTGATGTAAACTAGAATGTCATTTGTATTGTGCCGTGAGGACAGACTTGTGTTGAAAATGCCTTGGAAAGATGCTTCAGTTGAAGATAAAGACCAAACTGTCAATTGCAAATCTTTCTGCTTTCCAGACAACAGTTGTGAGTAGACAGTCACTCCCCTTTTCAACTGATATTCAAACACCAACAGCAAGAGCCAACCTGTCCCAGAAATTACCCCTATTGCAAAAGGAGTGTCTTTTCTCCTGAGAGGCCTGTTTGAGAGGGAAAGAACACAGCTTACATAACTTGACTCTCTAGGCTAGTAAGGCTGCACTTATGGAAACAAATTGATAAGTATTGTAACAGAAGCCATTCCTGCTTGCAATATAATCGTTGACATTTAAAGGAAAGACCAGAGGAAGCATTCCACTTTCGAGTCAACACATAGCAGGAGACACGTCTCATTCTTGTGTTGTTAAGATATACTCCAGGGCGGAGTGTTTTCAGGAAGTGCATGCTTGAGGAAGACCTAAAGCGCAGTGCCCACTTCAAGCTGTCTGGAAGCAGTTAAATCATGACTCATCTCAAATAGGACACCCACCATTTTTCAGATGGCACCCTGATGAGTATAGAAGAAAAAATGAAGGATGCGAAAAAGCTTGCGAAAATATTCATTTATTTATTTATAACTAGTAAATACTTTGTCCCAGAAATGCATTTCGCTACACCCGCAATAACATCTGCGAAATATGTGTATGTGACCAATACAATTTGATTTGATTTTGAAATGCTATCTACCTCCCGCCTGTTAGAAGTGAGAAACAAGGAGGGAAGAATGATGAGCAGCACATGCCAGGGCAAGACCAAACTAAGAATCCACCATTTCACAACCAGAGGAAGAATACAGTCAACCAACAGATGTCACATCACACTTAGGACCTAGTCCAAACAAGGAGACGCCCTCTAATCTTAGTGTTATCTGGACAAAAAGACTGGTGATCATAAATTGATTCATCGTTATCACAGGAGTTTATGAGTAATGCATTCTTCACTGAAACAGTGTTTGATAATGGAGTTTGCAATGGCTTGAATTTCCGAACACGTTTGTGTATTTCACTTCACTCACACCATTACTGAGCTCTATCAATATGTGAACTGTTCCTGTAACACATTGGTGTGAAGTGCAAAGCTAGGCTAATCTCTGCTATGTCATCCCTAGGAGAGATGCAGCACACTGTTATTTGTGTCGTCCTCCAGGTCAGCTACTGGCCCCCTCTCCCAGGACCCCATCAGGACCCACTCTCTAGGACCACCTGGCAGGCCAATTGGGGGCATCCACACCCTGAGATAACAACACACATTTGAGGCCCTGGATAAACATTGACCAGTTCACACAGGCTGTGGAATGCCCTGAAGTGATTTGTTTTCCCCTGATCTGCCAAAATGTTGATTAGATGTGGCGATGGGAGATATCACCCAACACCTCCCAGCCCAGCCCACTTCATGTTGATGCCGTTCACAAAAGGCTGGGCGATTTGGCCTAAAACTCATATCTCTATTTTTTCAAAGTTATGGGCGATTCACGATAGATTTTTTACATTTTAGTCATTTAGCAGACGCTCTTATCCAGAGCGATTTACAGTTAGTGAGTGCATACATTCTTTTTTTTCATCCTGGCCCCCCGTGGGAATCGAACCCACAACCCTGGCGTTGCAAACGCCATGCTCTACCAACTGAGCTACATCCCTGCCGGCCATTCCCTCCCCTACCCTGGACGACGCTGGGCCAATTGTGCGCCGCCCCATGGGTCTCCCGGTCGTGGCCGGCTACGACAGAGCCTGGATTCGAACCAGGATCTCTAGTGGCACAGCCTTAGACCACTGCGCCACTCGGGTCATCAAGGCAAAGGGTGGCTATTTAAAGAACCTCAAATATAAAATATATTTAGATTTGTTTAACATTTATTTGGTTACTACATGATTCCGTATGTGTTATTTCATAGTTTTGATGTCTTCACTATTATTCTACAACGTCGAAAATAGTAAAAATAAAGAAAAACCCTGGAATGAGTAGGTGTTTCCAAACTTTTGACTGGTACAGACCCCCTGGTTCGATTCCAGGCTGTATCACAACCGGCCGTGATTGGGAGTCCCATAGAGCGGCGCACAATTGGCCCAGCGTCGTCCGGGTTTGGCCGGTGTAGGCCGTCATGGTAAATAACAATTTGTTCTTAACTGACTTGCCTAGTTAAATAAAGGTAAAACAAAATAAAATAAATAAAAATATACACATAAGCTTCATTGTACAATTAAAGGTCAAATACACTGCATTTAAAACAGTCAGCAATAATCTAATATATTCAGAGCTTGTGAAATTATACATAGGCTGAATGTATGCCTTCAACAACCATAAGACCATAGGGCCCCATGTAGCTCAGTTGGTAGAGCATGGCGCTTGCAACGCCAGGGTTGTGGGTTCCATTCCCACGGGGGGCCAGTATGAAAAAAAATAATTAATAAACTCACTAACTGTAAGTCGCTCTGGATAAGAGCGTCTGCTAAATGACTAAAATGTAAATAAGACCCACTGATATTGTAATTATTTTATCAAAATAGTTGTACCTGCTTTTTGTTGTTGTTGCAATAATCACTGATCTGGCATTCAGGTCTGTCTATAAAAATGCCCTTTGTAAAAATAATAATAAGCCGGAACCATGCATAATGCACATTCACTAATATTGTAGCAGGCATTACAGAAAATTAACACCTGTCTCAAAAACAAGCCCACGTGCTAGTCAGTAGCCAGCTAATATTTATATTTCAAGTTTAGCCAACTTGGATCTGAATTCAGCTAACAAGGAAAAATAGTTTAATTGTTATGAACACAACCTTCGGTCTGTCTCTAACTGTTTGAACAGCATGCTAGCCTGTCCACTTTGTTCAGATGTTGAAATCAAGTGGCCTACCTTGTTTCTCAGAATGAGAACGAGTTGCTAATTCCATAGAATTGTTTTATGATTATTGCACATTTATAAAACACAGACTAAACAGCTAGTATCACTATCTTTATATGACTACAATGCTGCAAATATTTTCCACAATGAATGTTCATTGGTACATCCGTTTTAGTAGTGTCTGCTCTGCTCGAAATTTGAGGAGTTGAAACATTTAAAAAAGGGTATGTTTGAAAGGTTAACTTCTCCTCTATTACAGTAAAATAATGTCTCCATGTGTTCTGGTGTCCATATGACCGATTCTGTTGGACCAAACCTCAAATGCAAATAGCGAGTTGAAACCGCTTGTCAGAGAGGAAGAAGTGATTTCCCATCTTTGTTGTTGTGAGTGGTAAGGGGAAAGGCTTGGGAGAAAGAGGCGAAGCGAGAGGTTTCAATGTCGCCAAAATATGTCCAAAATAATCCCGATGCGTTTCTATGCGCTTATTTTGAACCCAAGCTTGTCGCCTGCCTTCCCGCCTTTGGGACAACGACTCCTATTGTTAAGGGTGGAAATATGAGCATTTCGTCATTATATACAGATCTCTGGTGTAAATGGGAAGGTGCACAGCACAGAATGAGCGAACGAGACGAGACCAAAAAGACAACATGTAGACAAACGCTCATAAAAACGAAAAATACAGGCATTTGGAATAAGTGCTACATGTCAAGATCAAGCTTCATGGTTACAGCAGACATTCAATCCCATCCTGGATCAAAATCCCTATTGCCTAAATTTTTTGTGCGCAATTTAAAAAATAAGAATATATATATATATATATATATATATATATATATATATATATATACACACACACACACACACACACACACACACACACAGTGGGGAAAAAAAGTATTTAGTCAGCCACCAATTGTGCAAGTTCTCCCACTTAAAAAGATGAGAGGCCTGTCATTTTCATCATAGGTACACGTCAACTATGACAGACAAAATGAGAAGAAAAAAAATCCAGAAAATGACATTGTAGGATTTTTTATGAATTTATTTGCAAATTATGGTGGAAAATAAGTATTTGGTCAATAACAAAAGTTTCTCAATACTTTGTTATATACCCTTTGTTGGCAATGACACAGGTCAAACGTTTTCTGTAGGTCTTCACAAGGTTTTCACACACTGTTGCTGGTATTTTGGCCCATTCCTCCATACAGATCTCCTCTAGAGCAGTGATGTTTTGGGGCTGTCACTGGGCAACACGGACTTTGAACTCCCTCCAAAGATTTTCTATGGGGTTGAGATCTGGAGACTGGCTAGGCCACTCCAGGACCTTGAAATGCTTCTTACGAAGCCACTCCTTCGTTGCCCGGGCGGTGTGTTTGGGATCATTGTCATGCTGAAAGACCCAGCCACGTTTCATCTTCAATGCCCTTGCTGATGGAAGGAGGTTTCCACTCAAAATCTCACGATACATGGCCCCATTCATTCTTTCTTTTACACGGATCAGTCGTCCTGGTCCCTTTGCAGAAAAACAGCCCCAGCCCCAAAGCATGATGTTTCCACCCTCATGCTTCACAGTAGGTATGATGTTCTTTGGATGCAACTCAGCATTCTTTGTCCTCCAAACACGACAAGTTGAGTTTTTACCAAAAAGTTCTATTTTGGTTTCATCTGACCATATGACATTCTCCCAATCCTCTTCTGGATCATCCAAATGCACTCTAGCAAACTTCAGACGGGCCTGGACATGTACTGGCTTAAGCAGGGGGACACGTCTGGCACTGCAGGATTTGAGTCCCTGGCGGCGTAGTGTGTTACTGATGGTAGGCTTTGTTACTTTGGTCCTAGCTCTCTGCAGGTCATTCACTAGGTCCCCCCGTGTGGTTCTGGGATTGTTGCTCACCGTTCTTGTGATCATTTTGACCCCACGGGGTGAGATCTTGCGTGGAGCCCCAGATCGAGGGAGATTATCAGTGGTCTTGTATGTCTTCCATTTCCTAATAATTGCTCCCACAGTTGATTTCTTCAAACCAAGCTGCTTACCTATTGCAGATTCAGTCTTCCCAGCCTGGTGCAGGTCTACAATTTTGTTTCTGGTGTCCTTTGACAGCTCTTTGGTCTTGGCCATAGTGGAGTTTGGAGTGTGACTGAGGTTGTGGACAGGTGTCTTTTATACTGATAACAAGTTCAAACAGGTGCCATTAATACAGGTAACGAGTGGAGGACAGAGGAGCCTCTTAAAGAAGAAGTTACAGGTCTGTGAGAGCCAGAAATCTTGCTTGTTTGTAGGTGACCAAATACTTATTTTCCACCATAATTTGCAAATAAATTCATTAAAAATCCTACAATATGATTTTCTGGAAAAAAAATTCTCAATTTGTCTGTCATAGTTGACTGTACCTATGATGAAAATTACAGGCCTCTCTCATCTTTTTAAGTGGGAGAACATGCACAATTGGTGGCTGACTAAATACTTTTTTTCCCCACTGTATGTATGTATGTATGTATGTATGTATGTATGTATGTATGTATGTATGTATGTATGTATGTATGTATGTATGTATGTATGTATGTATATATATATATATATATATATATATATATATATATATATATATATATATATATATATATAAAAATAAGTGAATGAATAGTGCCCTTTCCGGTAATACTGTATACTTCGGTATGAAAATCTGGATACCGCCCAACCCTAATGTTCACAAGTATGCACGGCTGATTCACAGTGAATGGAAATAATCATTCTCCAAGAGCAGGCCTCCAACCAACCATCTACAAGCCATGATGAGGTTGTTTATACTGTACAGTAGAGTACAGTAGAGTAGAGTAGAGTTAAGTCAGGGTTCCACCACGTCACTCCATATCCCTCCCGACTGTCCTCATTCAGCTGGGGCTCACACAGACCCCTTTTGTAATGTCAACAATGTTTCCAAGAATACCGCTTGGAGCATTCCGGACTAACATCCGGAAATATGTCCCACTACTACTAGCCTAGATCCTTGACATTGTTAACAGGAGAAAGATGTGACCCTCAGACACATCAGCTTTAGGCAATGCCTCAGTAATTACAGAAGCTTAAACACCCCATAGTTTGGGTTCTCATCCATGACACGGCTTGCCTGATGATACAGTGCTACAGCAGCCATAACATCATCATGTGTAACAAAGATACTAATTGTGTATGTGATCTGTCAGTCAAGGCACCAAAGAATGCCCTCCACAAATATGTCAACAACCTGAGCGAAAGCAGACTTCCTTGGTTAATAAATTAGATCCAAAAGGGCACCAGCTGTGAGATTGTCTGGTATATTACCACATATACAATTGACCTCTCTCAGAACTTTTAGGCCAGACAAAAGTTAGCCAGCTACTATAAATAGAAACCCTATAGTAAGGTTTACATTCTTTAAGACCCCAAAATCAAAGCAATTATCATCAACTTCACTTCAGATTATCAATGTGACATTTCCCCTTCTCAATGTGCTTACCCGTATTGGTGACGTTGAAAACTTGATCTTCCTCCGTGGTCCCGGTTCCTCCTCATCTGAAAGCCCAGGGGCCTCCTCAATGTCCTCCTCATCACAGGGCTGCTCTTCCTTCTCTTCCTCCTCCTTGAGGGTCTGGTCAGTATCCCTATCATCCACAAATGCTGCGTTCTCTATACCATATGCCACTGGGGAAACCTTGCCCCTGCTGCCCTGTTCCTCCTGCTCACGCCCCTCCTCAGCAACCTCCTCATCCACCTTTTCCTCCTCGTAATCCGCAGTTTGATTTACAGGACTTGTGTCTTCCCTCCACTCCTCAACTCGACTTCCATCTTCCTTCTTCAGTGTAATCTCTGTCTCCTTGCCCTCATCATTCTCTAAGATCTGCTGATGGTGGTCATCATTCTGACTGATCACCTTTGGTGGTGATTCTTTTAGCTCAACTTTGATCTCTTTTGGGGGTTGCACATTCAGTTCCTCAAAAACGTTGTCTTCAATATTCTCATCTTCATTCTCCTCGCTCTCTGATGACTCATTCTGTACCACTATGAGCTCAGCCCGGACCATGCCAGGCAGAGATGAAGCCTGGGTAGGTGGCTTTTCCCTGGTGGGACTATGTGCCACATGCCCATCACTCTTGGCACTGTCGGAGGTTTTGGCCCTGTTGCTACTGTAAAAGCTGTTGGCAAACATGGTAGGCTGTTTTTGATCCCTGGGGGGTGGACTGGAGGGTTTTACGCCATCGCTACCCACAGATGGTCTACCAAAACAGTCACTGGTTGAGGGGGAGCGCTTGTAAGCACTTTGGCCACCTGGGGATATGGGCTCTGGGGAGCTGGCCTTTGGAGTGGCATTGGCTGTTGGGGGGATTGGTTTGTGAGTGGTGTTATTGAATGGGGAAGTTGGTTTGAGAATGACACTGGTAACTACAGAGGTGGGTTTGTTAGTGGCATCATTAGTTGGAATGGTGGATTTGTAAAAACTGTCCCTTGTCGGAGATGTAGGCATTGAGCGATCTGAGAGACTGCATACTTTAGATAATATCTCTGTGGCTTTTCTCTCATTGTCACTGTCCACAATGAAGTTGTCTAGCCGCCTGGACATGGGTCCAGCATTCAGTGACAACCTGGACACATGTTTTGTCTCCTCAGTATCGCTCCTCTCATCTGTCCGGCTTCTCGTCACTGGAGTGGGACCAGGCTCTGTTTTGATGTTGCTAGTCTCAGTGGACCCTGACAATCTCCTGGTACTTTTCCCCCCATCAGACACACTGCCCAGGGCCACCCGGCTTACAACTCTGTTGGGAGACTTATCCGCTGCGGGTTGTTCTTTGATAGTCCTCTCAAAGAGTTTCCTGGTCGAAGAAAACTTCTCTGCCAAAGCTGCTTTGTCAACTTCGACATCCCCTCCCTTGGGGGTTTTATCTAAACTTTGAGATTCTGGGCTAGTGGCACAGCTCAAGCTTGTTGTGTGTGTGGTGACTGCAAATGGCTCATTTGGTGGGGAGACAGGGGACACATCAGCTTTCAAAGTGGTTTTCACCTCTTGAATCTCTTGTTGCTGACCATCCATCTGGAGGAAAATATTCTTTATCTTGTTTATCCGATTGCCAAAAGGCCTCCCCCTCGTGTCCTCCTGGGTGTCGATAGAGCCATTTGCATATAACTTTGCAGCGCCGTCGGATTTCGTCCCATCAAAAGTACACTTAATAGCGTGGAAGTCCGACTTGTAAGCATTTCTATGCGGGGACGCACTCCTCAGCGCCCTTTCTCCTTTGCTCTCGGCTTTTATCATTTTCAAAGATTTACAGGGAGTATCTTGGGAAGAGGTGATAGGAGTTAAACTTCTGAGTATTTCCTCGTTTCTTGTTTCACTATTGTTGTTCTCTCTCGACCAGTGCCATGGATCCCTCAGATTCTCCGGCGCCCTTACCTCAAATCATGCGTAATGTGTGGTCATCTACAAAGACAAGAGCAAAACACACTTTCAAAACCTAGCTGTTAGTACTATTCGAGCCTATCCAAATCAGATCAACTTCCTATATACCTCGCAATCGCATTCTTCGTGCTGTTTCAAAGCAAATGACTTTTCCCTCATCACGACATTGTTGTAGACCAACGTCTTTAATTCTTGAACCTGAATTGGCTTTTAAGTAGCATATGACAATTCGTAACCGGTCAAACACTGACAATAAAGTCAGCCAAAGATGAAACACAGAAATAAGTTAACTGTGCGAAACAAGTTAGATACCAAAATGTCCTTAGTGGTGATCAGTTTCATTGTAACAATTCCAAGTAAACCGTGATCAAAACATTTCAGAGCTTTACCGCACGAAAATGAACTGCCGTAGTATTTTACCTCTTACGATACTTGTTTCATCGTCCTAGGCGCTGAAGGCTCCTCATAAGGCAACTCTTGTGTAATTTATACTCCCAAACTTCTCATTTCTTTACCACCATCACTCCCCTTTCCATAGTTTCCTCCTTCCTTGTACTCCAGACACAGACGTATCGCGCTACCGCGCTTACCTACCCTCGCTCTCTGGCGCGCCACACGATCAGACAACATCGGGGGCGCGCACACCAAAACATTCCAGGACTACAAACCCCCCACCCCCTTCTTGAGTGCGTGCTTGCGCAGTCACGAGAGATTTGAGGAATATATTTCCTTGAGAAGCTCACCTACCGCAAATGAAAGAACAACTTGGAACTGGAAAAAACATTTAAAATGTCCTCAAACAAAGCAACACCTATCCCATCAGGTAGCTACTGTATGCATCTTCAGCAGCTGCTCTATCTGATAGTATTGTTTTGGGGTAAATGTCTCAACAGCAATATGGCTATTTGATGTTTCAAATTGTTTCCAACAAGTGGCTGTGATTTCGTGAACAATATAAGAGCTTGTGTGAAATAGGCTTGGCATGACGCTACACAGATGCTTTACGACCAACCTTAACTTGGTTATACTATCTTTGTTCTCGGTTCTGCCAAACATGTCTTCTAAAATCTAATTTTCCAGTTGCTGGGGGCTCTTATGAATTAAGAAAATGTTTTTGATTTTTTGATCCATGAAGTAATTCAACCATATGTATGCCGCCATCTTGTCTATTTCAAATATTCTCTCATTGATTGGGACAGGTGACCCCACCCCAAAGTGCTGCTTGTCATGACACTCACCTGTCTTGATCAATGAGAGAGGGTTTGAAGTAGAGAAGATGGCGGGTTACACATTGTTGGATTACTTCATGGAGCAAAACATGTATTTATTTTAATAATGGAGCATTTTCTAAATTCTAACGAACCACCTGCAACTGGACACAGACATTTTAGAAGGTACACTATATATACAAAGTATGTGGACACCCCTTCAAATTTGTGGATTTGGCTTTCAGCCACACCCGTTGCTGACAGGTGTATAAAATCGAGCACACAGCCATGCAATCTCCATAGACAAACATTGGCGGTAGAATGGCCTTACTGAAGATCTCAGTAACTTTCAACGTGTTACCGTCATAGGATGCCACCTTTCCAACAAATCAATTTGTCAAATGTATGCCCTGCTAGAGCTGTCCCGGTCAACTGTAAGTGCTGTTATTTCGAAGTGGAAACCTCTAGGAGCAACAACGGCACAGCCGCGAAGTGGTAGGTCACACAAGCTCACAGAACAGGACCGCCGAGTGCTGAAGCTATTAGCACACACAAATTGTCTGTCCTCGGTTGCAACACTCACTACCGAGTTCCAAACTGCCTCTGGAAGCAACGTCAGCACAATAACTGTTGGTTGGGAGCGTCATGAAATGGCCTAAGGTTACCATGCGCAATGCCAAGCGTCGGATAGAGTGGTGTAAAGCTCGCCATGACATTCTAGACGATTCTGTGCTTCCAGCTTTGTGGCAACAGTTTGGGGAAGGCCCTTTCCTGTTTCAGCATGATAATGTCCACGTGCACAAAGCAAGGTCTATACAGAAATGGTTTGTCGAGATCGGTGTGGAAGAATTGACTGGACTGCACAGAGCCCTGACCTCAACCCCATCGAACATCTCTGGGATGAATTGGAACGCCGACTGCGAGCCAGGCCTAATCGCCCCACATCAGTGCCCGACCTCACTAATGCTCTTGTGGCTGAATGGAAGCAAGTCCCCGCAGCAATGTTCCAATATCTAGTGTAAAGCCTTCCCAGAAGAGCGGAGGCTGTTATAGCAGCAAAGGGGGGACCAACTCCATATTAATGCCCATGATTTTGGAATGAGATGTTCGATGAGCAGCTGTCCACATACTTTTGGTCATGTAGTGTACATGTTTGGCCGAATAGAAAACAAAGATAGTATCGCCAAGTTAAGGTTGGTCGTAGATTCTGTGCCATGTCAAACAGTACCTATCCTGTAACGGGTAATGGAGAATCCCATTAGCCCGTTACAAATCTGTAGATAAATATCTGCAATATCTGGTCCCTTGGTCAGACCTCACCTCCTTAAATGGTCGCCTGAATGACTCTCAATGTGTCATAACTCGACTGTGTCCATTGGGTAATAACATTGTTCCAGAATAGCTGACTTGTAAAGAAACTCAAAGGTTCATAAAAAGCACTATTACATCACTGAGAAATGTGCTGCCTTGCAGAGATCTCTTGCTCTCACTCGCTCGCTCGCTTTCTCTCTAATTCAATTTGCTTTATTGGCATGACGTAACAATGTACATATTGCCAAAGCTTACTTTGGATATTTACACTATTAACATAATTAAAATAATAATCAATATTGTCAATGGGACAACAGTAACAACAATAACCAAGGGTCAAAATAACTATTGAACAATAACAATATAGTGGACATGTGCAGGTTGGTTGGTCTATCAGACACTGTCCCTCATCTCATAGCAGGCAGCAATGTAGTGCGCTGCCAACCCACAGCTCTCTGTGTCCTCCCCCAACAGGACGGGTAGCCTATTCTCATCAGAGAGGTCTTTGAAACCTTGAAAAAACAGTTTCAAATTTGGGGAAATGACATTAATTGTTTTATGTTTTTGACATTTTTGTCAGGAAATGCAGCTCGGTCTCAGGTTCTGCTGTGGTGCAGTGGTTGCACAGCCTTTCCTCTACAGAGAGCCAGGTTTTCCTGTGTCTACCCTTCTCAATGGCAAGGCTGTGCTCACTAAGCCTGTACTTTGTCAAGGTTTTTCTAAGGTTTTGATCAGTAACCATGGACAAATAGTTAACCACGGTGTACTGTCGATTTAGGGCCAGAAAGCACTGCATTTTACTTTGTGCTTGTCCTTTTGTTTCCCAATAAGCAATGTAGTTTTGTTTTGACTGTGTTATAATTTGGTTTATTCTGATTTGATTAGATGTTCTGGTCCTGAGGCTTCAGTGTGTTAGTAGAACAGGTTTGTGAACTCAGCCCCAGGACCAGCTGGATGAGGGGACTCTTTTCTTTGCTCAGCTCTTGGCATTGCAGGGCTTGGTAATGATATGAGAGGGGGTCACTGTATTTTAGATGTTTCCAAAACTTACAGTGCCTTGCAAAAGTATTCATCCCCCTTGGCGTTTTTCCTATTTTGTTGCATTACAACCTGTAATTTAAATGGATTTTGCTATGAAGCCCCTAAATAAGATCTGGTGCAACCAATTACCTTCAGAAGTCACATAATTAGTTAAATAAAGTTAATGTGTGTGCAATCTAAGTGTCACATGATCTGTCACATGATCTCAATATATATACAACAGTTCTGAAAGGCCCCAGAGTCTGCAACACCGCTAAGCAAGGGGCACCACCAAGCAAGCGGCACCATGAAGACCAAGGAGCTCTCCAAACAGGTCAGGGACAGAGTTGTGGAGAAGTACAGATCAGGGTTGGGTTATAAATAAATATCAGAAATGTTGAACATCCCACGGAGCACCATTTAAATCCATTATTTTTTTTTAAATGGAAAGAATATGGCACCACAACAAGCCTGCCAAGAGAGGGCCGCCCACCAAAACTCACGGACCAGGCAAGGAGGGCATTAATCAGAGAGGCAACAAAGAGACCAAAGAAAACCCTGAAGGAGCTGCAAAGCTCTGTGGAGATTGGAGTATCTGTCCATAGGACCACTTTAAGCCATACACTCCACAGAGCTGGGCTTTACAGAAGAGTGGCCAGAAAAAAAGCCATTGCTGAAAAAAAATAAGCAAACACGTTTGGTGTTCGACAAAAGCCATGTGGGAGACACCCCAAACATATGGAAGAAGGTACTCTGGTCAGATGAGACTAAAATTGAGCTTTTTGGCCATCAAGGAAAACGTTATGTCTGGCGCAAACCCAACACCTCTCATCACCCCGAGAACACCATCTTGTTTTTCCAATCGGCAGGGACTCGGAAACTGGTCAGCATTGAAGGAATGATGGATGGCGCTAAATACAGGGAAATTCTTGAGGGAAACCTGTTTCAGTCTTCCAGATATGTGAGACTGGGACAGAGGTTCACCTTCCAGCAGGACAATGACACTAAGCATACTGCTAAAGCAACACTCGAGTGGTTTAAGGGGAAACATTTAAATGTCTTGGAATGGCCTAGTCAAAGCCCAGACCTCAATCCAATTGAGAATCTGTGGTATGACTTAAAGATTGCTGTACACCAGCGGAACCCATCCAACTTGAAAGAGCTGGAGCAGTTTTGCCTTGAAGAATGGGCAAAAATCCCGGTGGCTAGATGTGCCAAGCTTATAGAGACATACCCCAAGAGACTTGCAGCTGTAATTGCTGCAAAAGGTGGCTCTACAAAGTATTGACTTTGGGGGGGGGGGGGGGGGGGGGTGAA